ATCATCTTTAAAATGATTTAAATATTCATTTTTAATCCACCATTTTTATATAAAATATGCATTGTAATTTACATTACAATGCATACATTACATACAATACTTTACAATATAAAGTATTGTACGCAATGTAAAAAGACTTAATGTGTATAATGGCAATTTTTATAAGTTTTTGTAAAATTATACATATTTTCATTGGAAAAAAATCTTTTAATTTTTCACTTTTATTACACTTTTATTAAAAGTTTTTAAAAAAAACTTTCCTACGCACAAATCTATGTGAAATATAAAATTTTATTTTAACTCCGAATTATTAGTACATTAGCGTCGACGAACTCTCATATCTAAATTTCAACGTAATTTTAACGTTATTTCAACGTTTATTTTTCAACGTTAACTCAACGCTTGTTTTTAGTTTAAAATAGACGTTAAATTAACATTGAAACGTTATTTCAACGTTTTTTTTTTAACGTTGAAATAACGTTGAAATTTAGATCGTTAATTTTCAAGCATATATCAACCATTTCGCAACGTTGAAATAATGTTAAAATAACGTTATGTGCTTGCTGGGATAACATTCATATATGTAAATACTAAGAATTAGATTTTTAAAATTTTAATTTATGAAAGTTAAAAATATAAGATTATGTTATCGATAGATAAAATTATCTGTTTAAGTTTTCTTTTGAATGTGTTGTAATTCCACTTTTGAGTAAAATCAAAATATTTAAAAACAATTTTGTTACATAAAAAAAGCTCCTCGATAAGAGATACAAGATTTACCAAAATTTGTATGCGAAAAAGGTTGTTGGATAAAGTTTTCATTTCAAAGATAATATTTGTTTGTTTTTTTATGTGAGTATAAATTATTAAAAGGATAAGAGAATGTGTTAGTTTTACATTTATACATAAAGCAATTAATATTGTATACGTTAAGTTGATACACATTAAGAATATTCATTTTAAGTAAAAGAGGCCTGGTATGAGTAAAACAGTCTTTAAAGTTTATAAGACGTGCAATATGCTTCCGTTGACGATAAAGAAGTTCTAACATACTTTTATTTACACCACCCCATGCAGTATTAGCATAATTAATATGGCAATGAATGAATGAGTTATATTTTTTTTATTTTTCTATTTAATATATATTTGCTGTTTATATAATAAGAAATATAATTACAAAGAAACGTTTACATACAAAAAAAGTGAATTTATAAAAAACAGGCATGTACGGTGTTTTCATTAAATTCCTTTGAGTTTCTTGAAAAATATTTGTGATATTTTTTAAATTGTCTTCAAAAGGGTCAAAAATTATATTTTCAAAATCTTGTTGAAAAATATTATTCAAACCCATTTTTAAGTATTATCGAATTTAATAACAATTATGTTTGCCTCGAATTTAATAACAATTATGTTTGCTGATGACACTAATTTATTTATGTCTCACAAAAGCATTCCTACTTTATTTCATAACGTAAACATCGAGTTAATCAAAATATCTGACTGGTTTAAGACAATCCTGAACATCGATAAAACTAAATGGATTCTTGTCCATCCTCTTACCAAAAAACATAAACTGCCAATTAACATGCCTCCACATGTTATTGACAATATACAAATTAAAAAAGTAACAGTAAATAATTTTCTAGGAGTTTGTTTAGATGAAAATCTTACATGGAAAAATCACATTAAAAACTTATCAAGTAAAATTTCAAAAAGTATAGGAATATTGTACAAAGCGAGAAATGTCTTAATTAAACAAACTTTAGTACAATTATATCACCCATTTATTCATTGCCACATAAACTATGCAAACATTGCTTGGGGTAGTGCAAATAAAAACAAACTTAAACCTCTTTATTGTCAGCAGAAGCATGTAGCCCGTCTTATATATTTTAAAGACCGTTATACTCATGCCAAGCCTCTTTTATTTGAAATGAAAGTTTTTAATATATATGAGATTAATATTTTTAATATTCTTTGTTTTATGTTTAAATGTAAAACCAATTCATCCCCGATTTCTTTCCATAATTTGTATTCATCAAAAGATAAAAATAAATACATTTTACGCAATAATAATTTTATTAAGCAGCCCAATTTTCAAACAAATCTTTTTAAATTTTGTATTGATTATCGCGGACCATTCTTATGGAATAAAATAGTTTTAAAAAATTTTACTGAGGATTTTATTAATCAAAGTAACTACTTTTCTTTTAAACAAAAGCTTAAAGAACTCATTTTTGCAATCGATGATTTAACAATATACTTCTGATATTTTTTGTGATCTTTATTTTTACCATTTATTTAAACATGAACTTATAAAAAGTATATGTGTATCCTTAACAACTATAATTTACATATATAATAGATAAAACGCATCTTGTATTTATTATGGATTATTTTAAGTTTCTTACTTTTGTTAACTTATATTTATTTTTTAACCTTGTAATTTTCTTTTAAATTTTAACACGAACATTTCTTAGCGGTACTCGACGACAAGACCGTATGGTCTTCTACGAGTCCCCGCGTTCTTTTATTTTCTAATAACGACTATTATATTTATATATAAATTTATTATTATATATTTGTATTTGAAATATTGTAACGAAATGCTTATTTTACATGTAATAAAAAAAAAAAAAAAAAAAAAAAAAAAAAAAGTAAGTATTTGAGAATTTACCTATAAATATATTTATAAATTATTTATCCCGAGGTATTACATTTTCTGTGCTTGCACATTTATTTTGTCGGAATTCATGGACAATTCCATTCCCTGTAATTGAGTTAAAGTATGTTAATTTAAATAAGGTCATGATTTGTATAGCATCCTTATACTTCTAGCAATTTTATTGTTTAGGTTGTTAACATGATTTTTCCATGTGAGGTTTTCATCAATGTAAACACCCAAAGAAATTAATAATTTTAGCTCTCTTTATATCAGTATTATCAATATACAAGGAAGGTATATTCGAAAGTAGATTTTTTTTTAACTGGATAAAAAAGTTGTCTCGGTATTTACTAATAGTTTGTTTGACTTTAACCAGTTTGAAATTTTAATTAGTTGAATAATATTGGTAAGTTATTGTAAGTTAAAAAAGGATTTGTGTCATCGGTAAACATATTTGTTGTCAAATTTGATGCTTTATAGAGATCATTAAGATAAATTAATAAAAGCAAAGGTTCTAGTATGGATCCTTTTAAAACCCCGCAAGATATATTTAATAAATTTGATGATGAGGTTGAATCTATTTTAAGAAATTGTTTCCAAAATTTTAAATAGTTTTTTAATAATAATAGTACATTCCCTGTGATTCCATAGCGTTCCCTGTGATTCCATTCCCTGTTTTTTAGCGTTCCCTGTGATTCCCTTCCATTTGATTCCATAGCGTTGTAGTTTTTTAAAAAGAATTTCATGATCAATAGTGTCAAAAGCTTTTGATAAGTCTATGAAGTTTCCAAAAGTATATTGTAATTTTTCAAATGAATTTGCAATACTTCTAGTAAGTTGAAGTATTGCATGTTCAGCAGAATGGTTTTTTTTGAATCCAAATTGATTGTTGTATAATATTTTATTTATAGTTAGATAGTTATATATTCTATAATACAAAATTTTTTTCAAAATTTTTGAAAAAACAGGAAGAACTAAAATTTGGCGCTAGTTATTGAGTTTAGTTAGTTCACCTTCATTTATTGGAGGTGAACTAACTAAACTCAATAACTATCGCCAAATTGTAGTAACTCTAGCTATTTTGAGAGCATCTGGCAATATTGCTTGTTTAATCGAGTAGCTAAAAGTTTTAAAAAGAATATTTTAAATGATATTATAAGAACCAATAACAGTATTTCCATTAATATCGTCTGGTCCAACCGCTTTATTAAGTTAAATCATTTTGTAGGCCAATTCAAATGTTTCAAAAATATTTAGAGAAGAGTTTAAAGCTTTTCACCTTAACACTTTTTTTAGTTGTTTCTTTTGATTATTTTACATTTACTTTTTTCTTTTACTAGTTTACTCTAAATGTTTTTGTGCTCTGTGTTTTATATTATGTAATATTGTTTTGTTTGTTTTTTTAATAAAAAAAAGTGAGTTTTGCTTTTTCATTTTTTTAAAAACTGGTTATCACTTTTTTCAGTTGTTTCTTTTGCTTATTTTACATTTACATTTTCCTTCTACTCGTTTACTCTAAATGTTTTTGGGCTCTGTGTTTTATATTATGTAATATAGTTTTTTTGTTCTTTTAATATTATAAAGAAAAAACTAGTTTTGAAAAAATAAACGTAAAAATAAATATTAGTCACAGAAAGAAATTAATTAAAAATAAATAAAATAGATTTGGCAACTTAATTTGAAAATGAATAATAAAAAAATAATAAAATATATAATAATATGTGGAAATATATAATAATATATCGACGATAATAAAAAAACTTAAAAGTTTTTTTATTATCGTCCGGGAATTAGGTAAACAACGTTTGTACAAAATATTTGCCATTTTAATCATGGATTTGAAATGGATCCACTGCAGTCATTATCACATCTTTCTTTGTTTATGTTTTTAAATTAAGAAAATATACAGCGTTTTCTTTACTTTTTGTAGGATTTTATCCCGCCGTAGTTTATGGTCAAAGTGTTTTCGGATTTTTGAAAACAAAATATTCGATCAAATGTTTTAACGCGTGTATATTTAAAATATATGACATTTTTGGTAAAGCTAAATATTTTGGCTCAGTTAAGTCTGCACACGGGTTCAACAGAAATCCCTAATGTTCAAAAAGATCGTATTAACTTGTATTAAAGTTTGTAAAATTTATGGTTAAGCGCAGAGTTTTTCAAAATACAGTAATTATTATTTGTTAATTCGAATTTCGATTTTGTTTTTATATTTGAACATGCTTCTTGTGTAACGAAGCGTTACTACATTATGCTAAAGTGAAGCTTCAAGAATATTTTTTTCAAGGATCCCGCTTATATGAAGACTATATTTTAATGAAAACTATAAACGTAATTTGGAAATAGTTTTTTTTTTTTTTTTTTTTTGAAATTTATCTTTATATTGATTGAATCTAAATGAATTAAAAAAGAAAATTCTTTGCGTGTTTTTTGTACTTTGCTTGGCGCGTATGCAATGTATCGAACATTGGCCTTACAAACTAATAAAATGGAAGTAAATCAACCCATTTTTTCTATTGATCAATTAAAAGAAGCTCAACAACATGAATGGAGGGGGCACAAAACGTCCAAAAAAACGCTTCTTATTTGTTCTATTATTTTGATTGTACTGACTGGTTTATTAGCTGGTTGGGTTTTCGTTGCAAAACCAAGATTTTATCCTAAATTAGGTCTTTACAGCCGATCTGCTGATGATGTTTGGACAGATTCTACAATAAAAAAAGAAATGTTTAACAAAAGAACTAAAAGAAGTATAGCAAGTCTACCAGAAAAAAAACAATTCGAGGTAATTAATTTAAATATTGAAAAGGAGTTTCCAATAAACAACAGTAGATTACCCCCTAATTTAATACCACAAGATTATTTTATTGATTTGAATATCAGTTTGAATTCAAACTATTTCAATGGAAGTGTGACCATTCTGTTTAATTGTATTAAAAAAACTAATATGATAATTTTTCATGGCAGAAAAATAAATTTACAAAACGTTTCTATTTTTGCAAAAAATGGTGAACTGACGTACAAACGAGTTATATATATTAAAAGATATGAACTTTTTGTCATAGAGTTAGATCAATATTTAGAAGAAGAAAAGTTATTTGAACTTGATTTGACTTATTCTGTAGTTTATGGAAAATCTTTAGCTGGACTTTACAAAAGCAACTACACTAGTCATAATGGGACACAGAGGTATAAACATTTGGTATGTTATTTATTCACAAAAAATGAAAATAAATGTGTGTATATATATATATATATATATATATATATATATATATATATATATATATATATATATATATATATATATATATATATATATAATATGCACATTTTACACTTACAGGTACATGTAACACACATACAAACAGAGACAAAAGTATTTGTGACGAAAATAAGCAAGCCCCTTCCAAAAAAAATCACCAAAATTTTTAAAAAGATTGTTCTTGTCTTATTAAAATAAAATTAGATTTATAGATTTAAGAAAATCAGAATTATTCGTTACAATTGTTGCAGAATATATTCTCCAATGCAGATTGGAGGTTATTTACTTTTCAAAACAACATAGCGTCTTCAACAGTTTTATGGATACACTTTTCCATGGTGATGTTTCATGGTTTCATTGTGATTGAGTCACTGCAGACTGGAAAATGATAATTCCGCTGCTGCTATATATATATATATATATATATATATATATATATATATATATATATATATATATATATATATATATATATATATATATATATATATATATATATATATATATATATATATATATATATATATATATATATATACATATATATATATATATATATATATATATATATATATATATATATATATATATATATATATATATATATATATATATATATATATATATATATATATATATATAGTTAAACATGTACAAGCCTCGGAATTAGGGTCGGCATTCGACAATACCGGCCTAACTGCCGACCTAAAAGTGTTTGCATTTGCCAAAAATTTGCCGACCTCGTTTCAATGTTTTATGGTGAAGCCTTTGTATGAAATTTTTTTGCCGACCTGATGCCGACCTCTAAAAGATTGAGGTTGGCAAATTATTGCCGACCTCAATTTTCCTAATTCCGAGGGTTGCATGTATAATAAAATTAAGGTAATTTTTGACGTTGTATAATACATAATTTAAAAGATTTATTTATGCCCGGGTCCCTTTCGAAGCTTTATGGCCTCTTTTAAACCCGATGAGAGTTTTTAAAGCTGACACATTGCGCAAAATATTCATAATAATAAAACGCTCCAAATATTTGCTTTAAATTTATAGAACAATTGTTTCAACTCATTTTGAACCTACCGATGCTCGATCTGCATTTCCTTGTTTTGACGAACCCCACTTGAAAGCAAGGTTTTTTGTTAGTATAACACACGATGCAACTCTTACGGCTCTTTCTAATATGCCAGTAAACAAAACTATTATTGTCGACAAAAATACTGTAAAGGATGAGTTTGAACCTTCTGTTAAAATGAGTACTTACTTAGTTGCATTCAGCGTGAATGATTTTAAATACAAAGAAAAGAAAACAAAGAGCGGAAAAAGAGTAAGTAGTTTTTACTATATATAGTTTTTAAAGTTTAAAACATCATGTTTGTAACTATTTTGTTTTTTTTTAGGTAAGAGTTTACGCAAGAGAAACAGATTTTAATCGAATAGACTATGCAGTAATGGCTGCTACTGCAATAATTGATTTTTACGAACAATTATTTGAAGCTAAATATCCATTGCCTAAACTAGGTGTGTACTTTTATATAGTTAATAGTTTATTGGTTATATTATATTAGTTAATTTTTTTATTCAAGTTACCTTTTTTTTTTTTTTTTTTTTTTTTTTTTTGTAACATTAACATTAGCGTATGAACTTTTTTTTGTCACTATAAGCAACAATACAAACACTTGGAATATATTTTTTTATTACTTAATAAAATATATTTATATACAAACACTTTGAATATATTTTTTTATTTCGTAAGATTTGTTGGCCGTGCCCGATTTTATGGCAGGAGCTATGGAAGATTGGGGATTAGTTTCCTTTAGAAGCGCGTATTTGGTGTTTGACGAAGAAATTATGACAGTTGAATCAATGAGACAAGTAACATTAGTTATCGCACATGAACTTGCTCATCAGGTATAAAATATATATATACATTTTTCTAGTTAGTATTAGAAATTAATAATAGAGTTGTTAGCTTGTACAAATATGGTCATCACATAAAAACGTTTATCAACTCAAAATACTCGTCGACTCATAAAATGATTTTTTAAATCAAGAACTTTAAAATCAAATTTTAAAATCAGTTTTTAAGTATTTTAAGAACCTGAGAAATTGAGAAATTTCTTTAATTGTTTTGTTTTTAGTGGTTTGGAAATTTAGTAACAATGAAATGGTGGAATGATATCTGGTTAAATGAGGGTTTTGCAAACTATGTTGAAATGTTAGGAACTGATATTGTAAACCCACAGTTTCACGCCGTAAGTTGCACTTTATACAATAGTTACAAACACAAAAAAAAGAAATCAAAAAATATGTATGTAGTTAATGTTTAATAGATTGATATGCAAGTACCCACTGGATGGCAAGCTGCAATTTCTTCAGACTCTTTAAAGAATTCGCATCCAGTGAGTCAGGACGTCAAAAGTACATCGGAGATAGATGAAATGTTCGACGCGATCTCATACAATAAAGTTGTTACTTAATAATTATATTTGCTTTCAAAATTACTTATTTGAGACGTTTTTTTTGTTTGTTTTTTTAAATTACTTGGTTTGATCTAACGAGCAATACTTTTTTTTTAGGGAGCTTCTCTGTTACGCATGATTGAGGGATTTATGAAAGAAAAAATGATCAAAGGTGTGCGAAGTTACATTGATCATTACCAGTATTCAAATGCTGAAACTGATGATTTATGGAAACATCTTACAAATGTAAAAATTTTGAATATTTAGCGCAAAATAATCTTTAGTATCATATATGATAATAAAGTCATATAAATTTTAAAAAATTGTTTATTTTTTTTTAAACACTTCAGGCATCAGGTGAATTAAATATAAAAAGTATAATGGACACGTGGACCCGACAACGCAGCTTTCCTGTTGTTACCATGATTCGTAAACCTGGTTCCAAATTTAAAATACAACAAGAATCTTTCCTTGAAATGAAACAAAAAATTGAATCACCTAACTCAACATGCAATCAAACCGATGGTTTATGGCAGATTCCTTTTACATATATCACGGATCAATCCTTTGTAACTCAGACATATTGGTTAAAAGATAGAGGTAACAACGTAGCCGATTTTTGGTACAACTGCAGCCTTGAAATGATTTTGAATGCTGAGTGAAAATGTTACTGGACTGCACTGAAACAAAATTTTCATTCAGCACACATTTTCATATTATAAACAATTATGTTTTGTACATATCTATAATGCGTATTGCACATATACAAAAGCTTACAAAAAACTTTTACAATAGTTATGGTAATGAGTAAATATTTTTTTTAGACGCTGAAATTGACTTAGATAGCACCGTAATGTGGGTTAAGGCAAACATCGACTCTCGTGGATTTTATTTAGTAAACTATGATAACGAAACATGGCGCGCACTGCAACAACAATTAATTAATAACCACAAGGTATAATTAACATAATCTACTTGAGTCAACAGTTTATAAAAATCTTATTGCGGTTTTTAATAATTTTTGATGTTTATACAGGCTTTTTCTGATGTAAATCGTGCTGGAATCTTGCATGATGTCTTTAAGCTTTCCTGTGAGGAAATATTAGATCCAATTGTAGCATTGAACATAACAAAATATTTATCAAAAGAGAGAGATTTTATTCCGTGGGCGATGGCAAGATCAAAATCTGAATGCATCGCAATGATGATTCAAGATCATTCTGTAAAAAGAAAATTTAAAGTAATTCTAAATCCTCGTGTTAATTTAAACTTTTTTTTGTTGTCATTAATCTTAATTGATCACATAATCTTCATTAATCATTTTGTCTAAGCTTCATTGTTCCACATTTGGTAAAAAAAGATTTTAATCTAGAAATATTTCTGGTCATTGATGTCGCATTTGGTCAAACCAAGTATGCTTGATTACAATGGGAAAAAGGAAGAAAAGCTTTCTATCTATGAAAGGTTGTTTGAAATTATGGTTTATACATTTATGTGTTAATTGTATGCATACACCATAGAAAATATATATACTTTTTATAAAATTTTTAGGTTGCAACGATTAGAGACATTCTCGTTTGCTCTTAAACATAATGTTAGTTCAGAATTTCAAAAGAAAGTTTCTCTTATTTTTAATGATATGGCTGCAGGAAAAAAGTAAGTCTTGTTTATTTTTAAACTGAGTTAAGTTTCAGGTCTTGCTAAATTTACTAACTTATTTTAATTATTAAAGGAATTTTTTTTTGTTATTGATATCCTACTTTTTTTATTTGTTGCATTTTGTATGTTGCATCGCATATGTTGCATTATATATATAATCTGGTTTCTGCTACTATACTTTCAGAATCTTGGGTGTCTCGTTCTGTACAAGACGATATTTTCCGAGACGAGATCTTGTACAAAACTGAGAAAAACCAAGATTTTTCCAAAAAGGAAAAAAAAAAGTAAAAATTTTACATAGTTGAAGCTATTGCTACTAACTCAGGAACGCTCGTCTCTGAATAATTAGGCCAATCATGTCCAAATGCTCAACCTTCTATTTGATAACTGAAATCATGTCGTTGAAAGTCGTCAACATTTTCAATACACTTTTTGAATGAGTTCTGACATCGAGAACCAGAAATATGATTTTTATTGCAAGAGATTGAGCATTTACTTTAAGCTCTCTGACTAATTTAAGGTTAAATTTTTTTTTACAATGGTTTGCTCATCTTAAGGTTATATTTAAGGTTATATTTGAATTTTTTTTTGCAATGATTTGCTCATCTTCGAGAGTTTTAGTACTAGACAAGATTGTACTCAAGAGCTTTCTTGTCTTCATTTTCTTCATCAGAATTTGCGTCAGGATTTTTTTTGTCTTCATATTCTTCTTTGTTTGTTGCTGAACAAAGCAAGCTTGGTGCGCTGCAAGAACTCTGAGATGTGCGTATTGACATGTCACTGTCTGCATCTGATTCTTCTTTGCTCTGGTCTTATGGTGAATCCTTATTTGCTCGAATAATGTCTGTATTTATCTTTTTTTCGTAAAAGTACTATTTTAATTAGTTTTTTTAAATCTTGGTCAGGATCAATGCCGAAGGTCATTAATTGATGATTTTTCAACTTCAACAACATTTTGGCATCACGTTTATTACCCATTTTGATCAGACCAAGAATTTGATTGCAATAGTTGGATCCAAAAATAAAGATGTTCACAACTTTAATTGGTTTAAACAATGCCTCATCACTAACATAGGACAACTTTTATTAGACTTTATTAGTGTTATTTCATTCATCACTTTGTCCTTCACATATGCTGCTTAACTATAAGTTTTTGGAAGAACTTTTTAGACGTTTTTGGGAGCTTAAATTTAAATTAAAATTTCAATCAGACTTTGCACCAACGGATTTGCAATTTTGTTGAAACTAACTCATCACCACTAAGTCCAAGACCTGATGCTAACTTGACAACAATTTCGATTGTTGTCAAGCCAATGTAAGTTTGATTTTAAAAAACGAATCAATCATTTTTGATAGAGATTGAAGTTGCGTAGATTTTTTGGATTTGTCAAATCCAGATAGAACATGGCGATATTGATGGAACTTTCATAAATGATAAATTTACTCTTTTCTTTATCAGGATATAAAGTGCATTCAACGTGAAACTTATTATTTTTCAAAACTTGACAGTAGTTTTAAATAAGTTCCTCTCAAAATCTGTTCAAATTTAAAATGCATTGTGTGTATATGTTTTTACTAAAGTTCTCTTAGAAGTCCATACGGTGTTATCACAGAGCCCATACGGTATTATCACAGAGTCCATACGGTATTATCACAGAGTCCATACGGTATTATCACATAGTCCATACGGTATTATCACAGAGTCCATACGGTATTATTACAGAGCACCGCGAAAGAACATTTAATTAGGAAGTTCACCTTCTTTACCAAACCTCTTGGTTCTGAGCAAAAACTTTAAGACTCACTGAGCCACGGCTGCACATATAAGTTGCAATTGCAATTTTTAATTTATTTAGTTTTACGCTTTTTAAGTTACAAATCGCATTATTTAACATAATCAAAAATAAGCAAAAACGTTGCACTGCAATTGCAACTTATAAAACGTTGCATTGCAATTGTAACTTACAAAACGTTGCAACTTATAAGATTTTTAAAAATATTAAAATATAGATTACTGAAAAATATTGAAAACTTATAAAAAATGTTTATTTTTTGTTTTTATTTTTTATGTATTTATATATGAAAAACATGACCAAGATTGTGTTAGTCAAACCTGACCAAAATAGTAATAGTCTTGGACAATTTATACCGAGGACTCTTCTTTAATCAAAAATATTGCAATTCTTCTCTCATTCAAAAAAAAAAGCGCCAATTTCAAAGGTTTTTACTATATTTCAGTAATTTCGGTTCTAATATTCTCTATATTGATTTTCTCATTATTTCAATACCGAGATTCTCATTATTCCAATACCGAAATTCTAAGATTTCCGAGATTGAGATTTCCGAGACGATCTGAAACTCTGCAACACGTGTTAAAAATTTTGATATTTCTTAAAAGTTTTTTTTATTTTTATTTTATGATTTTATATATGTATTTACTGCTACATACTTATAATCATAAAAAAAATTTAAAAAAATTGTGGACCCTAAGTGGCTGCAGTTAACATAAGCTGTTAACATGTCAAAGAAATCATAAACACGCGTTAAGCTTTACACAATGAACCCTTTAGAGTATTTTGTAGTCGCTTTTGATAATTTGCAACCAGTCAGCAGGACTGCAAATCATAAGAACGTTTCTTTTACGTATATATATTAAATACCCCCATAAATTCATAAAGTCATTGTGTTGCAATTGCTATAATAGTGTTAGAGAAAAACATTTAAAATTTAAACCATTAAAATGGTTCATCAAGTCTCGACATACATTGGCTCATTAAGTCTCGACAATATGCTTAATAATTTTTTAGGCTGGTAGGTTTGTCTCCCGAAAATAGAGCATTGGCATTAATGTATGGCTACAACTCTTCTAACGAAAATGATTGGGACTTCTTGTGGAAACTCTACGAAAAAAGCGAAGTAGATACAGACCGAAAAATTATCATGAAGGCGCTTGCGCAGTTCAAAGAAAAAAATAAAATCAATTAGTAAGTATAATTTTTGTTTGAAAATTGTATACACTTACCCTTATATATATAATTTATATATATATATATATATATATATATATATATATATATATATATATATATATATATATATATATTATATATATATATATATATATATATATATTTATATATATATATATATATATATATATATATATATATATATATATATATATATATATATATATATATATATATATATATATATATATATATATATATATATATAGCATACTTGAGAAATCGTTGAATAAGTCAATAATGAGAGTACAAGATACAATACCATTACTTGCAAATATTGTCAGACTTGGGTCTCGAAAAGAAGTTTGGGACTTTGTATGTGTAAATTACGATAGTTTCAAAGAAAGGTAAGCTTTTTTATATTCCAAAGAAAGCGTTATTTCGTTTAAGGAAAGTGATGCTAAATTTTATAAAACTTTTATAATTTTATTTAATTTTTTAATTCCTTTTTAATCTTATATGAAAAATTTATAAGTTTTATTAAAAATTATTTTCCATTTAAAAAAGATTAGAACTCAGCGGGCACAGACGTCTGTAAAATTTCTTTACAACGTTATATACAAGTCACAAATCCGTAGGACGTCTTAAGACGTCCATCGAACGTTCTGTACCCGCTGGAAAGATATCTAAAACTTCTTAATTTTTAATTAGGTACGGAGGAGGCTATCAATTAGGTCAACTACTAGGAGAAGTAGCAAGTGGTTTTAGCACATGGGTAGCATATAAAGAGGTATTTTTTGACGCCGCAACAATTTATTAAATAAATAAAGGGCTTCATAATATAAGTATTCAGCTTTTTTGGCTTTTTTCAATGGACAAATATTTTTACACAATAATAATATTATTAAAATTTTAAAAACTAAAAAATGTATCCAACAATCATTATTCATAAAGTGTGCATAAAATTATTCTTAAAGTGTTCATAAATTGATGCATAAAGCATTCAATACAAATATAGCATTTATTAGGTAATAAGAATCCTTTTTTGTTTGTTTGCACTTTACAAATTAAATAAAAGATTCTGGTCACATTAAATAAGTTTAAATCACTTTTTTTGTTTTGCTTTTAGGTTAGAACGTTCTTTAAAAAGCATCCAATTGGTGCAAAAGGATCAAGAACTGAGAAGCAAATTCTAGAAAAAATCAAAAATAATATACATCGACATACCGCTGAAAACATCAACATTCACGGTAAAAGAATTTCTTTTTGGCTAGAAGAAGAAGTCAGCAAAAGAAACACATTGAATAGCTTATACGATTTTGATTAAATGTTTCTTTACTAAAAAAGTATTTTATATACAATCCTCATAACCAATGATGGTCTTGTGATTTGCGACTTTGGAACCTTATTACCTGCTATTTTGTTCTTGCTATTTAAGGCCATAACTTTAAAACACACGATTTGTTATACGACTACAGTGTTGACAGTATACTTAATAATGTTATTTTATGATAGAAAGTGGTATTTGCAAACCTTTTATTTTCTGTGTCACATCTTGTATTAGTAATTTTTGTAACTGGTATGAGACAGTCAGTGTGGTATTAAGAAAAAACATTTTTTAAGTATTTCAATTTTGAAAATAAAATTTGATTTCAATTATTTTCAATATCGAAAGCTAAGAAAAACTACTTGAATCACACCATATTTGCTTGCACAATGTAAATCGATTGTCAATTTTCTTTATCGGTTTTAATAAAATTATTTTACTATTTAGATTGGGATGTTTAACCTCTTAATTCCAACCAATGTTAGCATTTTATATAAATTAATGGTTAGATTGTATTTCAGTCATTTAGTAAACCAAAAATTAAATAAATTTTAGGGAAAGTTTGTATACCTAGGATTGCATTTTTTTTTAACATACTATTATATTTCAATATATATTCAAGGCTCGGCCTTGTTTAAAAATAGTTAAACTGATTATTTGATCAGTTTCACTAATTATATTGTATTAATGTATGTATAATAGCTTAATATATAAAAGTCCGTCATGTAGAAGAGTTTAAAAGTTGTGGTTCTAAGTGTAATAAGCTTTTTTTTAATTGTATCTAGGAACTATAAAAACCAGGGACCATCAAATAGCGTTTTCCACCCCACTATGAGATTCAAAATAGACTAAAAATAAGTATTTTTATAACTAATTACCGGACTGAGAAGCATAATTTAGAACCTTATAGTTTTCGAATAAAGTGAATGGATCTAGGTACAAGTTGTCTTTCAGTTCACAAATTTCGTGTAATTAAAAATACACTGTTGCTACGCATTTATTTTTACCAAATAACAAAAAAAAAAAAATGACAAAACTAGATCTAGAGTAGCTGAAATTTAATTAGAAATCCATAAAAGAAAAAAAGAAAAAAAATACCTTAAATTTTGCAGACAGTCAAATTTTTTAAAATTTTTTTTAATTTTGTAAATAAAAATTGATTTCATTTAAAATTGAAAATAAAAAGTAAAAAAAAAAATTAAAACTAACATACTAACAAAGTCATAGTAACAAATTAAAATTGAACTTCTGTAAATTGAACACTCAAGAGGTCTCAAAATATGTTCGAGTTATAAGAATTTTGTAATTATAGGACTTCAATTCTGAATATTTAAACGTAAAGAGATCGTAGAGTTTATTTGATTTAAACGATCTTTCGAATTATAAGAGTTTGAATTATAAAAATTCAACTGTATTAACATAATAACGTAGTCATAGCAACTGATAGTCTGGCTAGTTGAGCCGTTATCATAAAATTTTCTGTTGTAAATATAACTTCTGTGCAACATTTATTTTGCATTATTAACTTTGCTTAACGATCATTAAACAATTTATCCAAAAAAAAAATGTTCCAAATAAAAAAAAAATATCGGGAAATGTTCAAATACCAGAAGCCAAGGTAAAGAAAATTATTATAAAGAAAGAAAATGGACAGCTTTTTTATTAAGAAAATGATAGAGGCTTTAAACCAGAAGAATAGGTTGACAAAAATATTTTACAAGGAGAAGAGTCAAATTTTGATTTTTTTATGGAAGCGCAAGGTTGTAAACAAGAACTGTCAATTCCAATTTTTTCTATAGCAGAACATCTTGATCGTGTTTTGGAAAATATTTTGTAGTAAAAATTTAACTAAGAAGTGGAAACCATGTAAAAGTAACAGTGCAATTTTTATAGACCAATCAAAATCAAATGTTTTTGCGAGTGGTTTTTATTGGTACAGACATTTTGCGCTAAACTTGAATTTGATTTATAAGAAAACAAAGCGTATGGAACATTGGTCTAAGTACTTCATCTTACCACTCTTTAATTATATTTTGGGATTATACTCTCACATTAATAACATAATATCAAATTGATATTTGCAGAAAAATTCAAAAACTCCAATTATAATTATACTCCCGATTAAAAATTAAAACTAAAAATCTATATGTAAAATAATTTTTTAAACTTAAAATTTTGTAAAATACCAATATTAAATAACCTCCAAAAATAATTTTAAAAAGTTATGAAATATAAATAATCTAATTAATTATTTTATTTTAATATTTTAAATTGGGTTGTAGTTAAAGGTTTTTGCAGAAAGATCGTCAAGTACAGCCTCTTAATACCTAAAAAACAAAAATAAAAAACTACTACTCTCCTATAAATTTATCATACATTTTCTATTTTTATTCAATTTGTAAATTATATTTGATAAATCTTTACACACACTTTAATTTGCATAGCTTATTGAACAGCCTAATTTTAGATATTTTTAAGATTAAATAGCTAACCTTAACTTAATCTTAAACCAATATAATAACTTAACCTTCAACCAATAGTACTACTATATACATCTACACCTTAATACATTCACAATAAAAATAAAAAGCATAATATTAGAAAAATATTATTCTTATTGATATTTTTATAACGTGTATAATTTATCAAAACTAATAGAAATAAATTATTTTCGTATTTCGAATATGCTATATTTTTTATAAGGTAATATGAAAATATCTTAAAATGATATAAATAGAATCTAAGTCTAAAAAAATATATTAATTTGAATAAATATAATTTCTGAAATCGAGATATAATCAAAATGCAAAAGGACTTTCAGAAATAAAATGAAACCAAAAAATGTGTTGCTTATACATTCTTTTTGATATTTGCGCAAATTTTTTAATAAAAAGCCATAAAACTGAGCAGCTTTGCAATTCATTACATTTGTGATACCTATTTTGAAATTTGCAACACTTACTTGAATCATGGCTTTACTGAGATAACCTAAACTCAAGGTTTATTCATTAGAAAAAACTGGAGGGTACACAAATGTGTGTTAAGACCATATTTTCATTGGAGATTTTAAAGGTAATTTAAATTTTTTTGAAAATCAAATATGTCAATTTTTATAAGAAAAAATACGATATTTCAAGATATATAAATTACCTTTCAAAATCACTTGCTAAAAAGAAAGACAATAATGTATGAATTAATTTCAAATGTAAAACTATGTGTATAGAAGAGGATGTATGTAAACCATGTGCATAGAAGAGGATGTATGTAAGGTATGTGTATAGAAGAGGTAACAGTGATTTATCGAGCATCTTTTTGTAAACTTATTTACCATTATTAAAATAATACGAAGAATGTGTAAAAATACATATATACTTCCGTGAACAAAAAATATAACTTTTATTTTAACATATTAACCCATTAAAACATTTAACTTTTAACCAATTAAGCTATAAACCTTGGCTACTTAACTTTTTATTTGAGAGTAGACTGAGCCAAACGTAAAAATATTCCAGTCTAAACGCATTTAATGTTAATAGTCGCGCGAACAATTCGTGTTGAAAGGTTTATAGCCAAAAATTAACGCCGAGCATAGTCAATTAGACATATTTGGAACAAATTCTTTTGTTGGTCCACCTCTATTTGATTCATTTATTAAACCCTCTTGATTTGCTGATGATTTAACTAAGTTACCTGTTTTAAAAACTGAATTAACTCAACTCTGATTTCTAGTATCGAAATTTTTTTCCCTATATGATATATGCCAAATAGTAAAAATTTGGTTTTATTCTCTTTCTTAATAAATTCTTATTGTCTTCTCTGACTTGAATCCTAGTCATAATGTTTTTAAACCTACCATTTAAAAAAATTTTTTTTTTAGTTTTTGGTGTTTCAACAAGACCTAACGGTCTTGTCACAGAGCACGGCGGTAGGAAATTTTATTAGGAAGTTTACGCCTCTTTCCTTACAGATGGCACGAAATATGCCCAGAGCTCACTTCGAACCCTGGATCTCTTATTTATAACCGCTGCGCAACGGCCGCAATAAATGCATAAATACAAGCATTTTTTGAAATCTGAAAACTTTCCACAATTTGTCAGATATTAATTTTCTCCATTTTTTTAGTTCACAACTACAAAAATGTTGTGAAATAAAACTTAATAAATGTTGTTAAATTTTTTCTTTTTAGTTAAAAAGTAAAAAAAAAAAATTGATAACACTAAGAAGTTCTTGCGGTTTTTTAGTCGATCAGTTGGACTTTACAAGAATTTTTTTTAATTAATTATGAACTTTTAAAACGTAAAAACCTGAAATTAAAATTTAAAAAATTACTTTTTTCCTTTCAAGGTAAACGCAAAAATAAATTCAGTTTAGTTTTTCATGCCTAAAGTAGTTTTTTTTTGTTTGTTTTAGTAATAAATGAAATAAAAATTAATTCATATGAAGACATTTTTAACGGTCCCTTGTATTATATTTGTTATTGTAAAAGGATTCATGATTAGACCATAAGATCATAAAGCTATTCTGTAGTATTTATTTATTAAAGACAAAAAACTCGTACTTTTGTAATGGATTTTTTACTTTCAATGCACAAAAATAGTTTTAAAAGTTTCCGGATGTTCTTATTTTAGTTTTAACAAAAATATTTTTTTATAAACTTTTTAATGATCAGAGTTGGGCATCATACCAAATATTTAAAAGCGTTACCGCTATCTTCCGCTTCTTTGGAAACCAAAAACCGCTTCCGCTCTTCCGCTATTTTTTAAAACTTTAAAATTAGTAGCGTTAGTCCGCTTCTAGACCGCAACCGAAAAAAAATTTTAATTGAAAAAAATATTAATATCCCCTCACTCCCACGTTGAGTTTGTCATATCCATATGGGATGATAAAAAGTGACAACTTTTTTAGTGTTATACACTTTTAAATATCTTACAAAGAACTTACGGAAAATAATTTATCTTTCATGACCGTTTCTCGTGTAAATGTGTTGTTTAAGTTGTTAAACCTATGAAAAGTTAGTTATTATTCAATTTTAAAGTTAAACAAAAAATAATAAAAGGTATTCATCTATTCATCTTCAAGAAAGTTTTTATTTAAAATTTTTATGTTCTCCTTTATAAAAACAAGCTGTTTAAAATTGTGGGAGCTGAGTGATGACCTTTTGGGTCTGAGAATATCAGATTATTAATTAGAATATCAGATAATAAAATCTTGAAAATAAAATCTCTGGAACATTGGCCTAATCTGTAGAGCTAAGCCTTTTTTAAATCCAACTTGCTTAAAGCTTTTATATTGCAAAAGCTATATATGATGCTCAGCTTTTTCTGAAGTATTAATGATTGCTACTAATAAGTAATTAGAGGTTTGTCATTATCAGCTTGACGATCTTAGAAAGGATCGATTTTTTTTTCTTTAAATTTGTATTTAAATTTTTCATAACCCAATACAAAACTAAAAAGTAAAGTTAAAGAACATTAAGAACTATTATTTTTATTTATAAAAACTTAAGAAAGTGTTTTATATTATACTGTTACGTTTTTTTTTAATTTATTGCGCTATTTTATATTTACGGTATAGATTAAGGGGCTTGGTGATAAGACAAATTATGTCTTCTTCTTGCCCCTGCTATTTGTATATATGTTATGCTTTACGACTTGAATAAATTTATATGGTAAAAAAAAAAAAAAAAAAAAAAGATATATCAGATTAGAATATTAGAATATCAGATTATTAATCAGAATATGTTATATGTAATAAATAGAATAAATATAATAATAAATATGTATAGATGTTCTCAGTGGTGTTCCTGAAGGTTCTGTTCTCGGCCCGCTCCTCTTCATTCTCTACACAAATGATCTTGGAAAACTCACTGAAACTTCTGAGATATTTGCCGATGATACTAAACTTTTTTATAAAACCTTATCGCAATCTAATTTTGTTGATCTTCAGGATCGTCTACGCTTGGTATACGAGTGGTCAAACACTTGGTTACTTAAGTTAAACACCTCAAAATGCTGCGTCATTCATTACGGTCGAAACAACCTCCATTACAATTACTTTCTGCAAAATAACCAAGGAATCAACCAATGTTTAAGAAGCTCTATAAAGAACGTGATTTAGGAGTCATTTTTACATCTAACCTCAAGTGGAGCGCTCATATTCAAACAGTTGTCTCTGAGCCCTTACAAATTCTTGGTATGCTGAAAAAGACATTCACTTTCATTGATGAAAAAATGGCTCTCAAATTATATAAAGTATTTATAAGACCACATCTTGAATATGGAGTGTCCATTTGGGCTCCTTATTTAAAAGCTAATATGGCTTTGGTTGAATCTGTTCAACGCAAAGCAACAAAATGGGCTTACAGCTTGAGGCATCTTCAATACTGCGAAAGGCTAAAAAGATTAAATCTACCATCACTTGAGTTTCGACGCCTTCGATGCGATTTAATCCAAATTTTTAAATTAATACATCGTTTTGATATAGTTAATGATAAATATCTACCAAAATATATTAACTCCATGTCTCGTGGTCACCATTCTAAAATAAGGCGTGAGTATGTTCCAAACTGTCTTCCAAGATATAATCATTTGTATAATAGATCAGCAAAATAATGAACGAACTACCAGAGCAAATAACTTTGTCTTCCACTGTACTTTCCTTCAAAAATAGACTAGACTCCTGGTTGTGGAATAAGTTTGGAACAAATATTTATAAAACTGGTTGTTTATAGTGGGGTGTTTTCCCTGCTCGCTGTATGTGTACATTCTATGTAAATTTACGGCTACAACTATAATAATAATAATAATAATAATAATAGTAATAATAATAATAATAATAATAATAATAATAATAATAATATCAGATTATTAATTAGAATATCAGATTATTAATTAGAATATCAGGTTATTAATTAGAATATCAGATATTAATTTTATATAAAGATTATTTCAATGAGATGATAGAGAAGTCCAGATAAACGCATCTATATGCACAATTAAGTTAACACATAGAGCTAATTGCGCACATTTTTTATAGCAAACATGGCGTTTCTTTGAAAATTCTAAATCAAATTGCCCACATCTCAAATTATTTTAATAAAGTAACAAAATTTTGAAACTTTTTTTCTTTCTTTTACTTTATTTTGAAGAAATAAAAAAATCTGCAATTTAAATCATTTCAAGTGGTATTTCTTAATTTAAATGATAGCGGAGAAGCGCTTTAATTTTTTTTTGGTAGCGACCTTAGTCCGCTACTAAATTTTCTTAGCGCAAGTTTCATTTCGCAACTCCGCTACAAAATGGAGAGTCTGCATGTAGCGTAGTTGCGGACTAAGTCGCGCTACCGCCCAGCTCTGTAAATGATGTATATGTTGTCTTATCATTGATCTATATATTAAAATAAAAAAAAAATTACTATAACTTTGCATCTTGACATACGTCAAAAAATTCAAATTTTAGATTATGAACTTTTCTGGTCAATTTAACATGCTGATTTTCGAAAAATTATAAATTTTTTTTTGGTCTTAGCAAACACGATGCTTCCTGATTTATCCTGATGGAAAAACAAAACTAGGAAGAAATCGCCAATTCTGATCAGATCATAAACACACTTTAGAAAAATTAAAGTTGCGTTGTTTGAGCTAACCTTTTACATTTTATAGTAATTGAACAGTTTTAATAAGTTTTTTCAATTTCGTATTTTTTTTAACTTAAACCCTAAATAACTTATAATCTGTCTTGTCAAGTATATTAAAACTTAAGTGTTTATTCCTTACATAAGAGACTATGACTTAAACAAAAAAGTGTAAGAGAATTCCTTCTTTATTTCTGACACCTTTTTCATAAATGGGGAGAAAAAGATTATTATAATTAACCAAATTAAGTCTTACTTTTGATGTAAAAATTATTTTTTTTTTACTTTAGCATCGCATGATTATCGATTAGTTTGCAAAGTTTGACGTAAATATCGTTTTGCAATCGAAAGATATTTAGGGGCAAAAAAACCTGCATAATTAGGGTATTACCTTTATTACTTTTAGGCACAATTCATTTTTAGCTACTTTTTTTTTTTGCCTTGTAATGATATTTTGTCATTATAAATCTAAAAGATATTATTATAAATAAATATTATATGAAATATTTTTTTCACTAAAGTATGTACAACTATTTTTAACATTATATGTATTTAGTAGATTTTTTCAAATTTTATTGTTTTTATGCCAATTATTTCTTAACTTATTATTCATTATCTATCTCCAACGAATTTAAACTTTTAAGTTGATGAATCATTTGTGTTTTTTCTTTCAATAGAAGTTGGTTGAAATCTTCAAATTCTTTCTAAAAATAATAAATTATAAATTTTACAACTTATCAAAAAAGTTTAAATAAAACTTTTTTTTATAAATTTTAAAAAACTCACATTTGCTTTTTTCTTTCCTTCTTCGATCTTTTCATGAAATGCGATAATATAGTCTGCTAAATCGTCCTCTGTTTGATTTCTCCTACTTAGTGATTCTTCTGAGCTAAATTTAACGAATAAGAAGGGAATTATAAAAGAATATATATATATATATATATATATATATATATATATATATATATATATATATATATATATATATATATATATATATATATATGTATATATTTATATAAACATATAAATATATATGTATATATTTATATATATATATATATGTGTATATATATATATATATATAATATATATATATATATATATATAATATATATATATATATAATATATATATATATATAATATATATATATATATATATATATATATATATATATATATAATATATATATATATATATATATATATATATACATATATATATATATATATATATAATATATATATATATATATATATAAAATATATATATATATATATATATATATATATATATATGTATATATTTATATAAATATATATGTATATTTATTTATATATATATATATATATATATATATATATAAAAATATATATATATATATATATATATATACACATATATATATTTATATATATGTGTGTGTGTGTATATATATATATATATATATATATATATACATATATATATATATATATATATATATATATATATATATATATATATATATATATATATATATATATATATATATATAGCCTCATTATTAGGTTTTTTGTAGAGTATGCTGATAACAGCCAACTGAATTCCATGCGCTAAACATAGCTGCTGATGTGTTTCAATTAACCTGACAACTTTTTTCATACCTGCAGCACTATCAGTGGTAATACCTACAATATTTTTCATTGAAAGCTCAAAATCACTTAACCTATCATTCACAAGCTCAACATATTTTTCTGCACAAATCAATCCTAGATTCTAAAATTCTTTGTTAGAGTGGACATAAATATTTATGCAACGTCTATTCCGATGCCCATTTATCGAAAGTAAGAGAAAATTTGTTTCCATTAACAATTCTGTTCGATAATTCTTTAATTACTTGGTCTTATATATTTCTACTGTAATTCAAGACCACTATGTGAACTGTTTTGTAATCCTATGGTATGTTAGAAAAACCTCTGGCTGTTAAGCCTTTTCTGATATCATAAGATGCGCAGATAATGTTGAATAATAAACCATCACATGCAGCCATCCTAGCTGGTATTAAGTCATCCATTTTATCACTTTAGTTGTTTAGTTACAGAAATTTTTGATTTCTGCACAAATTCTGAAGAATCTAAAACAGTGGTGCTACCTACATCTCTTTCCAATAAATAGATTTCATGAATTTATTTAAAATAGGTACGAAGACCGCTTGTAGAACCTCTGTGTGTTTTTATTATTCTCTTACACAATTTTCATTTATCACATTGTCCTGCTTTTTCTCTTAGAAAATGAAACCACAGTGAATTTTTAACATTTGCTTTGGAATGCTCTTCAAAATCTTGAATATTCATATCGGTGTAAAATACAAAGATTTTGAAACGTGATAATAAAATGTACAATTCATACTCTGATTAAAAAGAAATTATTTTACTTACTGTTTAGAACTTTATGTAATACTTAATTTAACTATTACAGCATATAAAAATAACCTATAAATCATATAACCACATTTAATTTTGTACAATGAATTTTGTTTTCACTTATCAATTTTAAACTTTTTAAACTTTCGAATGGTAAAATTATTTTGAATAATGAAATTATTTAGAATTTTGAAATAATAGTGTTCGGCTTTTCAATAACAGTATTTCAGTAACTAACAACTACAAATAGTTCCAAATAACAGGATCCCACTATCCAAGATCCTGGTATTCTCATTCCTAATTGCTAACTATTTGAAAAAAACTTTTTCATATCATCTCTCTGAATCCTATGATCACACTCTTTGTATCATTCCATAGAAACAGGTTAATTGATTTTCAGACTTCCAAATCACTCCTGTTTCTAAAATTGCTAAAACTATTTCTCTAATAAACTTCTTTCTACAATTCATGGTTCAGATTCATGCGGTAGTGGTGTAGTGGTAGAGCGCTCACTTCATAAACGAGTGGTTCCGAGTTCGATCCCCACCACGTCCCTGGTAGTACCGCGCTCAACTCGTTTCTCCGCGCAGCGGCCTTGTTTGTCAAGGTTCGTGTTTCGGAGTTATAGAGTTGAGAGAGGGTTATAGCCACAAATAAGTAGCCTCCTCGTCTGTAGTGGCCTTCTTGGCCTTGAGGAGGTGAATTAAAATTAAAAAAAAAAAGATAACATTTCTGTCAGTTTCTTGTGGTTCAGATAACATTTCTGTCACAGTCTCTTGTGGTTCAGATAACATTTCTGTCAGTTTCTTGTGGTTCAGATAACATTTCTGTCACAGTCTCTTGTGGTTCAGATAACATTTCTGTCAGTTTCTTGTGGTTCAAATAACATTTCTGTCACAGTCTCTTGTGGTTCAGATAACATTTCTGTTATAGTCTCTTGTGGTTCAGATAACATTTCATTCATAGTCTTACAAAAGTGTTTTCCAGAACTCACCTCAAAACTCTCAATATTATTGAATCTTGTTTTTCTGCCTGCTGAAAAATGGTTCTAATCTTTTAAAATTCTGAAACATATTCTGACGCTTTAACCTACCATCAATCTTTACTATATTATTAACAAGGGTTTTTGAACTTTTTATTAACAAACTTTTAATCTGTCATCTTGAGTCTAATAACCTACTCTCTGACAATGGATTTTGAGCCTCTTGTTCTACAGCTGACTACAGTTAACTGTTATAACATAAACGCATTATCATGCATTTTATAGAGGCGGCAAAGCATGGTCTCTTTTTGACAATTTAAAAGCTTTTGATAAACCTCGGCATGCTGGACTAGCATCTTGTATTATTTCTAATCTAACAATCTCCTTGACAACCTTACATCTCAGGTAACTGTATTTAGTAACGAGGAAATTATATTTTTTCGACAAAAAAGTCATCAATTTTTGATCTTTTAGAACCAGATCTTGAAAGCCATCTCACTAAATCCACCTGCTTGTATTAATCAATTAATTGAGTCACCAATTTTAGATTTCTTAGAACCTGATCTTGAGAGCCATCTCACTAAATCCACCTGCTTGAATTAATCAATTAATTGAGTCATCAATTTTTGATTACTTAGAACCTGATCTTGAAAGCCATCTCACTAAATCCACCTGCTTGTATTAATCAATTAATTGAGTCACCATTTTTTGATTTCTTAGAACCTGATCTTGAGAGCCATCTCACTAAATCCACCTGCTTGTGTTAATCAATTAATTGACTCAATACCACATCCTTGTGCAGCTGTTATTACTGAAAAGAGTACAGCTACAAGATATTAATATACAAATATAATTGAATTATATTATAAAACATGGTAAAATAATGATTCTCTGACAAAAATTGGCCAGAAACTTTTGCACATACAAATATAAAATGTATAATAATAAATATATTTATGAACATAAATAATATTTTTTTTCCTATAATTCATTACGTTTCATAATGATTAAAAATCATTTAACTTTTTTAAAAATAAATCAGAGTAAAAAATGTCGCTAGTCGAAAACTTTTGCATGCCATTAGTAAGTGACCAGAGTTAATATTTATCCAGGGCCAGGGTCAGGTTTGATAAAAAAAATACCCTGGATCAGGGTTGGGTTTGTTACTTAGGCAGAGGAGCATTTAAGTAGGAATCTCACGCCTCCTTCTTTACTAATGGCGCAAAAATATGCCCAGAGCTTGCTTCGAACCCAGGATCTATTGCTTCAAAAGCAAGAACTTTAATCACTTTTCCACGGCCGCTAAAATATCACAATTATTTTCTTTCCTTAACTAAAGCTCATTCATACCATATGTAATGTTCTCTCTCCAAGTTTTCTTACTTTTACCTCTGCCATTTTCTGCGGAACTTGCTACCTCTCTACATGTTGATACCCAAACTACTTTAATATTCTCTGACAAACATTCGATAAAATGTTTCTTTTAAGAAAAAAAAAAAGCTGTTCAATAAAACATTTCTGTCTAAGATTATGGCTCCTTTTCTTGTCTTGTTAGAGGAATACCACTACACAGTATAAATACTAAAGTTTATACAAATATGTAAAGATATTTAATGCCACCATCTAAATAAAAAGGAAACTTATATGTTCATACCCATATATATCCATATTATGTATACATAAACAGGCCTCATACTTAATCTCCTGGATCCAAGCAGGTATTGAAGTTTTTATTACTTTTCTTTGGTTTTAAATCCAACCTCATTCTACTTCACGCTTTTCACCTTCTTGCACAGTTGGTATATTTAACCATTACCATTTTTTGTCTTTTTTACAAGAACATCTCTCTTAAGAATAAATGTCTTTTTACTATTGGAAAAAGTTTATGTAGAAGAGTTCTGTCTAATGCTAAGCCCCATTAAATTCAGTTTACTGAATCTCAGATGTTAAGTTCTAGAGACTTTTGAAATATCTTTAAGAGTGTTATTAACTAAAGTGAATCTGAAATTACATTCTAATTCATGGATCTGATCTTACTACTTCTCCCAAGAATAAGGAAAAGTTATTTGCAAAGAAATTTTCCTCTAATTTGACTCTTAAATGTAATGGAATTACTCTTCCTGCCAATTAAACAGATTAATAGTTAAACATCCAAATCACTCTGGCTTCCGATGATAAAGTAAATTCTCAATTTTTCTACAGCTTGTGATTCATAGTCTTACAAAGTTCACAAGTTCTCAATCTATGCTAAACTTTTTATCATAGTCATACAAAGTTCACAAGTTCTCAATCTATGCTAAACTTTTTATCATAGTCTTACAAAGTTCACAAGTTCTCAATCTATGCTAAACTTTTTATCATAGTCTTACAAAGTTCACAAGTTCTCAATCTATGCTAAACTTTTTATCATAGTCTTACAAAGTTCACAAGTTCTCAATCTATGCTAAACTTTTTATCATAGTCTTACAAAGTTCACAAGTTCTCAATCTATGCTAAACTTTTTATCATAGTCTTACAAAGTTCACAAGTTCTCAATCTATGCTAAACTTTTATTAAATGAAATAAAATTCCAAAATTTTAAAACTCTAGAAAACACTTAGATCTCTCTAATTATCTTATGATAAGATATATATATATATATATATATATATATATATATATATATATATATATATATATATATATTATATATATATATATATATATATATATATATATATATATATATATATATATATATATATATAAATATATATATATATATATATATATATATATATATATATATATATATATATATATATATATATAATATAAATATATTATATTATATATTTCACTCTCTTGGACATGTCTTTGATTAAATCACGGCATAACTTGATTGTTTCACTGTGGAACCAGACATGGATTAACCTTTCTATAAGCAGTGCTTTTGTAATTATTGGAACTTTGTGTATTTTGTCCTTCAAAATGTCCTATAATTTCTCAATTGGGTTTATATCTGGTGAATTCCAAGGCCATTTAAGTACAAAGAACCAATTGTATTGGTACCATATCATTGACAACTTACCCATATGGCAAGGAACACAATCCTGTTGAAATATAAAGTCCTTATCACTGAACCAGTCTCTGACTTGAGGAACCAAACATTTCTTCAACACCTCTATATACTTTCTCTGGTTCATCATTCCTCCCACAATATTTAGACGGCTTGTTCCATAGATGGATATTGCTCCATATACCATAATCTTAGTGGGGAACTTCATTGTTTTCTTAAGAAACTCAGGCTTAAACTCTTCTCCAAGCCCTCTTCTGACTGTCTGGACTCTATCATCCAACACAGCAATTTTCGACTCATCTGAGAATACTACTTGAACAAAAAAAATGCCTGATAAAATTTAAAGAAATTGTACAAATATTACATTAATAGTCACGATCACCAAGTTAACACCTACTGATATTAGTCAAAAAGTATGAAACTGAGAGAAATCAAGAAATCAATACTATACTAGAGATACTAGATAATAAAAAAAGATACAATAATACTAGAGACAGAAAGCTAAACTAATGATTACTTTAGACCACACTTTTTTTGTCCAACTTTCATGCTCAACAGCCCATCCATACCTAGCATGTTTCATTTTGTTTGTGAGTCTTGAATTTTTTTTTTGGTCTATATGCCTTCAGTTCCTGCTCCAACAAGCAATTATTCACTATTTTACAGGTTACATTAATGCCCTGACTTGCTAAGTCCATAGATATCTTCTAACAAGAACTTCTCTTTCTCTGGGCCATTACTTTGATCTTTCTCTCAAGTCTGGGGTAGTGATTTTATCTAGAGCTCAAGTCTTTTCTTATCCCCATCACTTGGTCAAAAATGTCAAAAATTTTGCTGAACTTTTTTATTTTTTCACTGAAACTTAAAATTTGTATACTCCAAGTACATACCAAATACATACTGTACACCACAGAGAGTAAAAAAAGTGGAGCAAACTCAAATTAAGATATTTCCGAATTTTCGCAACTTTTCTTGTCTAGCCCAAAAATGACCCTAAAATTAAAAAAACTAATTCTAAATGGATTTTATTTAACAATAAAATAGTTCCATTACTATATATATGTATGTCATTAAAATAAAAGAATATCATTGACCACTCAAAACGTTTTGACCACTGAAGGCTGCCTCAATTAATGGAATTTAGTGACAATTCTAAAAATCCATAATTTTTGCAGTATTAGTACTGAATATATATATATATATATATATATATATATCTATATCTATATCTATATCTATATCTATATCTATATCTATATCTATATCTATATCTATATATATATATATATATATATATATATATATATATATATATATATATATATATATATATATATATATATATATATATAAATTAGTAGAAAATCACTTAGCAAAATTTTTTCTTATTTAACACTGTGTTTCATCAATAAAGACTCATCAGAAAAACTTTTTTTCTGATGAGTCTTTATTGATAAAACACAGTGTTAAATGAGAAAAAATTTTGCTAAGTGATTTTCTACTAATTTGTAATTGCTCTGTTCTTTTAAGAACATTGAGCACTCTTTTTGTAGAATACATTTTAAATTGTTTAAATATATATATATATATATATATATATATATATATATATATATATATATATATATATATATATATATATATATATATATATATATATATATATATATATATATATATATATATATATATATATATATATATATATATATATATAAACTTATAATGTTGATACTGACAATAAATTTATGTATGCATGCCTTCATGTATGTATTTATTCATGTATTTGACCATTCCATTTGTGTGTCAAAGTACATGCACATTTTAATTTTATACATAATTAACTCGATATGTGATATTAAATTAAAAATATCCATGTAAAATTACACAGATATGCTTGTACAAGTGTGTGCATTAAATTAAAATACTAAATACATTTCATATCATAATAAAATTTAATGAATGTAAAAATAATATACATAAAATTTTTTTACAATTGAAGGATAATTTATATAAATATAATATAGCATATATTATAGCTTAATTATCATAAAAGTAAATTTATTTGTTTACGCTTGTTTTGTTTGGATATTATTTTTAATTATTTTTAAAATTATAGAAAATTCCTCTGATAGAAGTTTTAACTGTAGAGTATAGCAGGGGTAAGTTTTTAATTGGTTGTTTTAAGCAACTTAAAACAACCAATTAAAAACTCTAACAACATCTAACATCTGTTTTAAGCAACTAAAAGTAAGTAAGTAATGAAATTTTATGAGGTATCATAAAATTTTATGAGGTACATAGTTGTATCATCAGGAAACAATACCACATAAGAAGTCTGTCAGAAAACTATTAATATTGATGAAAAACAACAAAAATAAAACCCTAAAATACCACAGAGATTACTACTAATGAAGAGTGTTGTCTATCGAAGGCAACTTTAGTATAGTAATTAGAAAAAATGATTCAATAATTTTAAAAAGATACACAAGATTAAGAGCATATGGAGAAGACCAGCATACTTGCATGTTTTCATCAAAACCTTTTGATATGTCAAGAGCAATATGACTTTATTGCTTTTGATTTAACTGACAACAGAATTTTTTTAGTTATGAATACAGTAATTTGAATTTCACTGGAACTCAATTAAAACTTCCTTTAAAACGATTTCTTTATTTGACTATTAATTTTAGACTAATTAAAGCTGTGATAAAAAAGTTAATAATTTATTTTTAAAAATTTGTTTTTAATTATATATATTTTTAAATGTAATACAATTTAACAACAAGAAAACAAGAAGTGAAACAACAAAATTTTACAAAAGTGAATACAATTTAAAATTTAACAATCAAAGGTAATCTTAGAAATTAGAAAACAAAAAATAACATTTTTAATTTGTTATTCAATTGTTGCATTTTTTTAATTTCTAAATTGAAAACATATTTTTAAAACCTTTTGCGAAGTTGAAGAAGATGTTGAACCAGGGATTCATGGAGTTGATCTAATTTTTTTACTTCATTCTCTAATAATTGATCTTCTTCGCGAATTTTTTCCAACTGCATTAGACATTCTTTTTCAAAGCACTATTATAAAGAATACAATTATTACTGTTACGAAATGAAATAAATAGTACAACAATCATTATTAATAATGCTACTGCTACCACCACAACAACTACCTCCTCCTTCTACTGCTACCACCACAACAACTACCTCCTCCTTCTACCACCACAACAATTTCCTCCTCCTTCTACAACAACAACTACAACAATGACTACTACTACTGCTAATAAACTGAAATGTGTTTATCTATGTTTGTATATATGTATGTATCTAAGTATTTGTATATGTATGTAATTATTAAAAAATTTGAAAATATATTCCCCCTTACATCAGTATCTTCTTTTTTCAAACTATTTAATGTTGCTTGTAAGCTTGCAAGCTCATACTGCTTTAGTTTTAGCAGTTCACTGCACTATAAGAAAAAAAAACTATATACTTAAAAAGACATTATTTATAACTAACTGCATTACAAAAAAAAAATAAAATATAAAATGAAAAATAAATTTACTAAAATTTTATCTTTTCATAGCCTTACAAAAAAATATAATATCAAATATAACAAAAAATAAATTTATTAAAATTTTATCTTTTAAAGTTTTAATTTTCAATAATCACAAAAAAAAGTTTTAATTTTCAATAATCACAAAAAAACATTTTTTTTTTTTTAATTCTAGCAGCAAAGCATCTTCTCATAATAATAAAATAAACGATAATAATAATAATAATAATAATAATAAAAATAATAATAATAATAGTAAAAATAAAAATAAAAAATCTCTATAAACATTTTTATTTTACAATGAATTAAATGCAAGTACTATTTAATTTATTGTAAGTAAATAATTTTTAATTAATCATGAAATTTTCTGTGGAAAACATAATGATTAATTAAAAAGTGTTCACTTATAATATTTATTTGATCTTTCAGATTTTGTTCAGCCATTTTATATATGGGTGTAAATTTCTTAAAGAGATAGCTATACTCAATACAGAAAGAATTTGTTGTTTACTTTATAAAATTTTATATTTTCATTTAGATTAAATCATTTTCAATCAAAGACGTTTCAATCAAAGTTTCTTTTAAATATGGAGGACTTTTAGCTTAGTTTATTGAGCTTTGATGAATTATTTTCATCTGAAAGTTTGTTAATAAAGAATAAAGTTTTGCCCAATACTTTAGTCTACTCCAGTAACTGTTATCAGTGTTATGGCTAATCTGTCATTAGGACCCTAATGTTATAAAAAAATTTCCACTTGGTATTAATAAAGCCCACTATGCCTCTATGCATGTTGTATCGTATATTCAGTCACATGATTGCACAATTACTTAAAATTCTTAACAACATTTGCACAACCTCATTTAGAATTCGCGGTATTAGAATTCGGCAATCTATCGACAAGAATGATATTAGTAAAGTTAAAAAAATAACAAAGACAAGCTACCTGTTTAATACCTTCATCAACTATCATACAAACATTGTCTGTGTCTACTAAACATAACTTCTTTAGAAGCCCGTCAAATTAGGGGAGATCTGATGCAAGCATATAAAATTATTATCAAGATAGATATTGTCTCATGGAGTGAACATGGTGTACTTTGTGTTGGGGTTTCAAATCTAATAAAAACTAGAGGACATCATCTAAAAATGTTGGGAGAATTTGCACAAAGTTGCAAGCAAAGACTTCAGTTTTTCACAAATTGAGTAGCAAATTATTGAAATGCATCACCGTTAGGGGTTGTGTGCACTAAATGTAGCATTTATATATTGATCTAAATTTATATTTAAATCAATACACTACATGTAGTTTTTAAATATTGATTTAAATATAAAATTGAGTATGAAGTAGATAAGGCTGCCATAACCTATAGGTTATACATGGAAACTTGTTGCTTATTATTTTACTTATTATCTTACATTATATATTTATATTTACCACTACTAATTAAAAAAATTAAGATTCATAGTTTCATAAATTTTCCTTGTTATTCAATGAAAATTTAAGAATTTCATGACCTTTTCTATGACCAAATAAAATTTTATGACATTTCCATGATTTCCATGACCAGTAGCTACCCTGACAGAATAAAGCATACAAAAAGTAGAGCAGAAAAAAGTGAAAAAAAAAACATCACATTATATACATAAATATACATCACATTAAAATTTTACAACAGAAAAAAAAAGAAAAAAGATAATAAATATATAATAAAATAAAGTAAAATTCACTTTAACACAAGTTTATGAGCTTATTAATACAAAAGAAAAAATTAGATTGCAATAAGTCTTGAGATATTTTAAGTATTAGTTTAAGGAAACCTGAAATTACAAGTGTTACCTTATTATCTACTGTACTGTCTACTGTAGAAACAATTTTTCTTAATTTAGAAGAGATTGCATCAATATACAACTTTTGGTATCAACTGAATAGTGAATTTTGATAAAACCAGTATTACAACAGTTTTAAATACTCCATAGGTGTTAGCAGAAAAATTACTGAGCAATTGCTTCGTTGAAAAGAGGTGAACTGGTCACTTTCGAGAAATTACTGGTACAAAATAACTTAATTTAGTTATTTCATTACTTAGTCTAAGTCTGTTTGAAAAACAGTCAACTGCTTTTAGAATCAAAAATATACTAATTCCAGCAAAGAAAAACTTTTTGTTTTGCTTTGGAATAACCATGAACAACCTTGCACTTAAATTAACCCAATCAACTAATCTTGTGATAATGGAATAGTTTATTTGTCATTTTCACCACAAACACACTATAAAGTCTAACCCCTTGACATTGTTGTCTATAATTGATCATAAATTGTATCTAAAAGAGTACAGTCTTAAGAAGAAGGGTAACAATAAAGAACAAAGAAAGGTGATAGAGTGAAGAGATTCTAAGTGGAAGCACATAAAAGAATGGTTAAAGGATTCAAATATACCTTCAAGCCTGTTATTAAAAGCTACCTTTATTTTAGCAAAAATAAAGGTAGCTTTTAATAACAGGCATAATAATCACCCTGAAAAAGCAACAACTGTTTACAATATTCCAAGCACTGCTAAACATCTCTTATTTAAATGTTTTTTGCAAAACCTGGAATTATACACTGGCAAAACCTGCCATGCTGGGTCTTGCCAGTATATAATTCCAGGTTTTGTCTTCTTAGAAAACTTTTATTTAAGTAATTAACAGCAACTGCATTTTGATATGATACAATGTAATAATCATGAATAAAAATTAGAAAAATTAATTTTTTGTTTTGTTTTAGGTTTTTCATTAATACTTGTTATGAATCCAATTGCACTTTAGCAAGTATCAATGTCCTCTTTGATGAGGACAGTTTAATAACGACTAAATTTTTTCATTTAATAGGTCCTAGAAACAAAAACAAAAATCTTAGATGTAACGCATTTATTTCAAATAAAATAGTTAAAAAGTAACAAAACAAAATGAAAATAAAATTTCAATAAAGTTAGTTATGTAAGTTATGTAATTATATATATATATATATATATATATATATATATATATATATATATATATATATATATATATATATATATATATATATATATATATATATATATATATATATATATATATATATATATATATATATATATATATATATATATATAGGTATCTATGTGTGTGCTTTTTTATGTAATTTGTTATTACCTCAACAAACTTTTCCACCTCAGCTGATTTATCAGATTTTAACTGACATTTCTCCTCTGCAATTATCTTTTTCAAATTTGTTAGTAATATCTAATTTAATAAAAATACAAAACATATTATGAAAAGAATATTAAAAAATATGTTTGATGTTTATTTTACTTATCACATTGTAAATAATTTCAAAACATTTCAAAATAACTAAAAAAAATTGCCAGTTTTACTTTACTTTTTAAGCGAATTAAACACTAATAAACTAAATTAGAGGTTGTCCATAAATTACGTCACGGTTTAGAAAGAAGGGAGTGGGGGAGGGGTTAGTGGTTTTGTGACGACTCATACAAAAATTGTTATTAAAGAGTTGAGATGCTGTGACAAGGAGGGGGAGGGGGTTGGAAAGGGGCCAAATATAAATTGTGTGATGTAATTTATTGATGACCCCTTATAAGATATTAACTTATGAGTTTTAAACTTAACTTATAAACTATTAGGAAAATTAATAACTTTAAAATTTAAATAAAATTTATAAACTTTAAAATTTTTTATTCTTATTGCTTTTGAATAAAGTTTAAAAATTAAAATTAAAAAATATTTCAATATTGTTTTAAAAAAAATTTATTTAGGTATTGGAGTTAAATACTTAGAAAGAAACTTTGAAAATTAGAAAAACATCAGACAAAAAGTCTATTCAATTTATCACTTTAAACTAAAAAAAAATTCAAGCAAAATATAATATACTGTATACTAATATACTGTATACACATATACTGTAATGAAATTCACATTAAAATAGAATTAAAGTTCAACTAAAAAATCTGGAATGTTATTATCAAAGTAATTTTTTAGGAACTAACAAAGTTGTAAAAAAAACTGTAATTCTTTACCAAGTATAAGTTAGATGACATCTTAAAGTTACACATAACTAAATGTGTGAACTATTATATGCAGATTACATGGTTACAACTTAAAAACCATAAAATATAGATCATCGCTTTGTCAGGACAACATAATGAGCCCTAAGTTATGACTTTGGGTTAATTAGCAGGATTGATCCAACTGCTTATTGCTTGGGATGTTCTATTTATGAATAAAGTTCTCTTTAAACTTAAATCCTACCAAGTAATACAAATTATTAAATATAAAAAACCATCCCCATCACTTAACTGTTTTAATATCTTTTACAAATATTTGTGGTCTGCAAAGCATAAGTTGAATCTTACTTCTTGCAAAATTTACCAGACTTGCTTGTCCAATGGAATTTAAACTAATTTAAATTCCATTGGACCTTTGATTTGCAATAGTCACATGCTTGACTTGAAGGTATATTTGAATCCTTTAACCATTCTTTTATGTGCTTCCACTTAGAATCTCTTCACTCTATCACCTTTCTTTGTTCTTTATTGTTACCCTTCTTCTTAAGACTGTACTCTTTTAGATACAATTTCTGATCAAATTGACGATGCCTTTTCTCTTTATTGTTGTTATTGGAGACTTTAATGCTTATAACACTGATTAGCTTGGCTCTAACACCACTGATCCTGCTGGCACTAAAGGCCATAACTTCTGCATTTCTCAATCTCTTATACAGATAGTTAACATTGAGACTCAATCAGACAACCCTAATCACTTACCTTCACTCCTTGATTTGTGTCTTTTCTTTGACCCTAGATTGTGTTCAGTTATTTCTTTTCCTCCTTTAGGCGGTTCTGCCTATGCAATTATCTCTATAAATCTTTTTTACTATCCTAAAGCTGACAGTGATTCCTTCCAGGATTTTCTTTGTGACATTCCTTGGGCTGATGTCTTTTCTCTCACCGCTGATAAATGCGCCTTATATACAACCTCCTAGATTCAGGCAGGAATGGAAGCTTTTATATATTCTCGTTGGTCCCAAGTCTAGTCTCATTCTACTCCATGGTTTTTACCTTCTTGTGCAGCTGCTATATCTAATAGTAATCATTTCATCTTTTTCAAAAGAACAACTCTCTTGTGAACAAACACCTATTTATTATTGCAAAAAATGCAAAAAGGTGCTGTCTGATGGTAAGCTGCATTATTCCCAGTTCACTAAATCTTGCATCTTATCTTCTTGACAACCTTACATCTAAATCGGCTCTATTTGCTGATGACTCAACTTTATACTCTTGTCTCGACGAAAAGTCTTTTCTTTTTATGCTACCCTTTCATTGAGTCCTCTTCTCTACATCTTCTTGGATTATTGTTCACTACTGACTTCTGATGGAAATCATATATACAATAAATTGTAAAGTTAGCATCTGCTAAGATTGTTTCTCTTTATTGCGCTTGCTATTTTCTTACTCCTGATTGCATTCTTTACCTCTACAAATCTCTTATTCACCCCTGTATGGAATATTGTTATCATACTTGGGCCTTCTAATGGTTCTTCTAATGATGCTTTTTCTCTTCTAGACAAGGTCAAAAAACGCATTGTAAACATAGTTGGACCTGCTCTATCTGCACAGCTTGAGCCTCTTTCTCATCATTGTAAAGTTGCAGATCTTTCTCTTTTCAAGAAATACTATTATGGTTGCTGCTCAAAAGAGCTATCATCTTTAGTTCTATCAACCAAAACTCATTCTCGCTGAATCTTTATTTTGCAAAGTCTTCTCCTTTTACCGTATCTGTCTCTGCATACTTTAAAAACTTTTATTTGTCTAGTTTTTTCTACTGCACTTCAACCTTTTGGAACTCTATTTTATCTTTATGTTTTCCTGACTCATATAACCTACAACTTAAGTCTTCTCTCAACTGTTTTCTTGCTTTTTAGCAAAATTCTTTGTTTCCTAGTAACTCCCAACATAATAGTGGCTGCTTGCAGCCTTGTTGGAAATGAAACTTATGTATATATATATATATATATATATATATATATATATATATATATATATATATATATATATATATATATATATATATATATATATATATATATATATATATATATATATATATATATATATATATATATATATATATATATATATATATATATATATATATATATATATATATATATATATATATATATGTATATATATATATATATATATGTTTATATATATATGCATATATATATGTATATATATATATGTATATATATATATATATATATATATATATATATATATATATATATATATATATATATATATGTATATATATTTATATATATATGCATATATATATGTATATATATATATATGTATATATATATATATATATTATATATATATATATATATATATATATATATATATACACACATACAACGCACAAAATAAAAAATTGTAGGTCAATTTGAGTAGCTAACACATAGATTTGAGGGACAACTATTTTTATTGTCTGGTAAATTAAAAAATTTTCTTTCGATAACTTAATTTTTGTTTTATAACATTAACTAAACTTTTTAAATAAAAAAATACTTAATGCTATATAAGTATTACTTTTGACATAACTTTAAATCAAATCCTGTTTGTTTTTTTTAAACAAAAACTCATAACAAAGTTATACGGTAAATAACTAAGCTCTAATTAATTTGATGAAATAACGTTATTCTGAAATAGTTCATGTGCATGGAGGATTAAAAACAGAGTTTTGATTAAAATTTGAGGTTAATCAACATCAAATTTATTTTAAACATTTAATATTTTTGAACTCTTAACTTTTAATTAACTTGTTTAAATTTTCTATATGATATAATTAAATTTTTATAAAATTATCAAATAAGCACAAGAAAATTTTAATTTAAAAAGATTTTTGTAATTTATTACCTCCTAATGCTTTACAATGCACATTTTTAAAAATTACTAATTTCTTGATAACTCAATTTAAAAAAATGCACTAATGATAGCTATAGTTATTTAAATTGCTAAACAGGTTAAAAACAGGTTATGAACAGGTTTATTATGTTCAGGTTATGAACAGGTTAATAACATTTATCAATTGCAATGATTTCACTAATGGTGACAAAATTTTAGGAGGTCTCTTAAAAAGATTTATTAATAAAAAGTGAGTTTAATAAGATTTAATAATGAAAAAATTGTACTAATTGTACTAAAAATTGTACTAAAATAAAAATAAAATAAAAATAAAAACTTTAATCAAGTATATAAAAGCCAACCATTGATTTTACCATGAAATAAAACGTCATATAAAATATGCGCCAATCAATTGAATTAAAAACATAATTTAAAATATTTAAAAAAGAGCTTATCAACAACAAAAATATTTTGAACAATTTTTTCAAAATATTTTAGTTAAAATATATTATGTATTATGAATATTTATCATTTTCAAAATACATCCAGGTTGTTTGTAAATGCTTATTTTTTAAAAGTATGATTTTTTAAGAACTCATTTTGGGATGTCAAAAATTTCAAGTGGTTGTTGACCGTTGACCGCCCATTATTTTGTGACCTGAAATATATATATATATATATATATATATATATATATATATATATATATATATATATATATATATATATTTATATATATAAATATATTTATATATATAAATATAGGGAATCAGAAAACTTTTCAGTGATAAAAGAAAAACTTGTTCTTTTAATGGTAAGAACATTTTTTTTAACTTAAAAATCCGTTTAAAACTAAAATATTATGAAAACTAAAATATTTTAAAATAAAGATACCACAATTTTCAAATTTTATAATCAAACTCATTATAATACGATGTTAAAAAAATCTTTACTTTAGCTTTGTCTTTGTTTCCATTAAATAAAGATAAATCATTTTGCTTGTGATCAAAGTGCAACTTTATTGAATTTCCTTGTAATACTTTTTGAACAAGTGGATTAAAAGTCAGCTCCTCTGCAATGTCATTATATTTATTTAGAATATCTAATGCCTGAAATAAAAAATAAAACTATTAAATAAATAAAAAAATGCCTGAAATTTAAAAATATTTTTTATTGCAACAAAAATAATCAAATAACAAGATTATTATTTTTTTTTTTTGAAATTTTTTTTTGTCTAAATTTATAAAATTTAATAATTTAAATAAATTCAACACAACCATATTACCAAATCATAACTTTTAGAAAAACGCATTTCACTTTCGTGATTCGCCTCCTCAAGACGATCTTTTTCATTATTTAATTTTTGTAACTCATTGCAAACTTCAGAACTTTTAGTTTTAAGTTCAGCTTGATTGGCTGGATTTCCTTTCTATATTAATAACATTAAACCATCAAAAAACTAATTCTAATTTTGAACAAGTTATTTGTGTATAATTTTGAATTCTAATTTTGAACAAAGTTAATTATGTACAAAATTAAAGCTTACTTTTTGGCGGTACTTCAAAGCTATATAAATATTTTCTGTATTAGATTAAATAAATACAAACATATAAGTATAATAATAACAAATAAACATAAAATAAAAAAATTGCTGAAAAAGTTGCAATAAAACTTAAAAAGATAGCAAAGCATGTCAACCATAATGGCCCTTTGGATGTTTTTTTTTCTTTTTGGTAAATATTTAATGAGTTGCAAGAAATTAATGAAAAAAGGTAATGTCTGTCCACTAATCTCAAATTACTTATATTTAATAATAAATGTTCTAGAGACTCTTGGGAATCTTTAATAATGCCACCAATAAAAACAAGTCTAAAATTCCATCTCTCTAGTGTTCTCTAGAACTTCAGTTCTTTCTAAATTGTTTAACAAGTTCTTATTAATTATTGAACTGTATTGAATCTTGTTTTCTTGTCTACTGAAAAATGAAAAGTTGTTTCTATTTTTATATACTCTGGAGATTGCTATGAACTATTTAACTACCACCCAGTCAGATGACTTACTATTATTAGCAAGGTCTTTGAATTTTTAATTAACAAACTTCTAATATTTCACTTGAAATCCAATAGCTTACTCTGACAATCAATACTGATTTCAATCCAGCCATTCTACTACTGATTTGTAACTATATTATCACAAAGGTTCTATATTGCATTAGATGGATGACAAAAAAGTTTGCTGTTCTTCTCAATTGATATGGTGTATCTGCGAAAATTTTGAAATATATTAAATCACCTCTTTTTAACTGCAGTATTAAAGTTATCCTTAATGGACAATACTCACCTTTATTTCTCCTATATATACCCTCTCTGGGGTACAAAAAGGTTCCACCCATAGTCCTGTGTTATTTTTTGTCAACAATCTTCTTGATAATTTTACCTATTTTTAAAGTTGATCAAAATTCATCAACTTTTTAAGTTAACAACTTTTTGATCATTTAAAACAGGCAGCAAATCTTTAATATGATCCTTTGTCTGTAATAGCTTGGAACACAGTGGATGGTGAATTTTAACCTAAAAATACCCAGTTGTTTACTGCTAAAAGTAACTGTTACATTTTTAATATTCCTATATTGATGGATGCTAATGATTCTACTGTAATGAGTCCAAAACTTTGCATATTATTAGATTATCTTTCACTGCAGGCCTCTTATGGAAACTATACACAACATTCATTGCAAACATAGCACCTGCTAATATTCTTTGTTGCTGAGAATTCCTGAAATCTAAATTGTCTGTAAATGCATTGTTAAAATACCCTGTACTACATTTACAAAAATAGATTAATACAAGACCAAGTAAAGGTAAGAAGAAAAATAGTTTTCAAAAAACAATATAAACTGTAGGAGAAACAATGTAATTAAGGCAAGACTAAGAACTAAGAAAGGTACTAAGAACACTAATAAAAGTGAGAAGTGAATAAGTTGACAGATTTTGAAAACATATACACAAAGTCAGAGGCAAGATGAAAATCTGATTTCAAAAAAATTCAGCTAAATCTAGTTCAGGGTTTTGAGGCACTGCATGTCCTGCATAGAAAGTAAGGTTACGCATAAGCAGTAGGTAGTAAAAAATCATAGACTCAGTCTGTATCTGCTTTTCTGAATAAAATAGAAAAAAAAACATACACTCAGCCTGCATCTGCTCCTCTAATTGCTCAGATTGGTGTTTAAGAACAACCAACTCTTGGTCTAATTTTTCAATGGTCATCTCATCTTCTTGGCTTGTTTAAAAATAAAGGAAAAAACTTTAATTTTATATACTAAAAACTATTATTTCAACATCTTATTTTTGGTATTTTATATATTGTTTATCAATTAGTTTGTTTTCACTGAAGTTTGTGCATGTAAAAAAAAAAAACATTATTTATTTATCCTTAAGTTTAAAAAAAGATTTACTTACATTCCTTCTTCAATTAACATTTTTTCACGAATCGCATCCTGTAAAACATCCTAAACATAAAATAAACTTGTTGTATTTATAATAATCTAAGCCTAATTAGTTTAGACTATTTAGTCAGCCAGATTTGGCCAGCCCAGTTTGGCCAGGTTAGTTGTAGTTAGTCAGCCAGGTTTAGCCAGGTTTTTAAAAACAATTTATCTAAACTAGATAAAAGCATATTTCTAAATTAGAATTTTAAAAATAATAACTTAGTACCGAGTATATGCAAACAAAATTAATTAAATAAAATCATACTGGCTCTGATTCGAGCTTAGCTAGCTCTTTTTTTAATTCATCGACATCGTTGCTCAAAGATTCGTAGTCTAAATATATTAAAAGTCAAAAAAAAAATTTTTTAGTTTTTTTAAAGTATTAAAAATAGTTGCTAATACAGAAAAAAATTATATAATTTAACAAAAAATTGAATAGAAAACTAAAACAGAATAAGAAAAATAAAGGAACATATATTCAAATAACCAATAACATCAAACAAATAAAAAATACTTTAAAATAATGTCTTGTATAAAGAAAAAAATAAACTTCACAAAATGTTATTTGGGGCTTTTCACAACAGTATTAAAATTAACTTTAAATTTTAAAGATTTATTGAGCATAATAACTCATTAAAAAATTGTACTATACCAAATTTGGATATTTCCGGATAATTACAACTATTTAGATTTAAAAGCACACAAGCTCACTATGACTTTAGTATGAATTTTAAAAGCACACAAACTCAATATGGCTTTAGTATGAATTTAAAAAGCACACAAACTTACTATAGCTTTAGTATGAATTTAAAAGCAAACAAGCTCACTATGGCTTTAGTATGAATTTAAAAGCACACAAACTTACTAAAGCTTTACATATGAATTTAAATACATACAAACTCAATATGGCTTTAGTATGAATTTAAAAGCACACAAGCTCACTATGGCTTTAGTATGAATTTAAAAGCACACAAACTTACTATGAATTTAAATGGACACAAACTTACTAAAGCTTTATGTATGAATTTAAAAGGACACAAACTCACTATGGCTTTAGTATAGATTTAGTAACCAACAACAAATAAGAGTGTATACAGTATTGTTAAATTTTAGTAAACAAAGAAAAAAAAAAGCTGAATATGAAATTAAAAAACACTTATTTCTTAATTTGTTTCATATAAAATTATTTATTAAAAAACTTGAAAAGTAAAAACTGTACATAAACAAAAAATGCAATCAAACCTTCAATAGAACATCCAGCCATTGTCACTATGAGAAAAAACAAAATAAAAATATGATTAAACAATCAAATAGTAGTAATCTTCCTAAGTTTCTTAAGTAATCTCCTTAATATTGTGGGTCCTGACCAAAAAGGGTGTAACTGACAGTTTTGTGAAACAAAGAAAAAACAGTTTGAAATTTGAGATGTCTATCATAAATTAATGAAAATCCAAAATCTTCTGATATTTGACCAAAAAAATAGTTATTAAACAACTATTCTTATTATTAAATAATGTCTTCTAGATCATGTAAAACTTAACCAACCTAAATCATCAGAAGATTAAATTTAAATTTATAACATAAAAAAGCTAATCCATGCCCTCCACATGGCATGGGGAGAACAATTTTGAGAAAATTCAACCTTATTCAGTACTACCCCAAAGACTACATAAGATTATAAACTAAGCTCTTTTTTTTATGTCAGTTAAAACTGGAGAACATTCTTACCCCTCCAACTATTATCCGATAGTTGGAGGGGTAAGAATCTTCTCTCTATTATAAGCAAGTGTTTAGCTCTTTGATTAACAAATTTCAAACAACCAGTCTTGAATTAATTAACTTACTGTCTGACAACTAATATGATTTTTGATCTTCTCATTCTTCGGCTGAATTGCTGACTGATGTGACTGAAAGAGCTTTCAGTCAACTCAGTTATTTACTGCAAACAACAATCGCAATGCTGTCGACATTCCTATATTAATAAATGGCAATCCTCTCACTGAGTTCTCTTCTTTACATTTTCTTGGACTGTCATTCATTAATGACTTTTCACAGAAATCATATATACAATCAATTGGAAAGATAGCATTTTGTAAGGTTGCATCTCTTTTTCGTGCTCACCATTATTTTACTTATGATTCTCTATGTTTACAAACTTCTTATTCTACTCTTATGGAATACTGTTGCCATATTTTGGCTGGTTCTTCAAATGTTGCTTTTTCTCTTTTAGACAAGGTTCAAAAATGCATTGTAAATGTAGTTGGACCTACTTTATCTGTCAAGCTTAAAACTCTCTCCTATTGCCGGGAAGTTGCATCTCTTTCTCTTTTCTACAAATACTATTATGTTCTGTGCTCAAAAGAGCTATTACCTCTAGTTTCATCAACCAAAACTCATTCTTGCTTGACTTGTCATTCAACAAAGTCATATCCTTTTACTGTATTTGTACCTGCTCTAAAAAAATTTATGTCTAGTTTTTCCCCTGCACTTTAACCCTTTGAATCTCTCTACAGGCTTGGTCAGGAAACAGGAGCGATTGCTCTCGATTGCTGACCACAGAAATAATACTTAGTTGCAAAAAACTAGCCAGATTTTTTATTCGTTATGAGAACATTTCAAAAAACAAAAGCAAAAAAAGCGCACAAGATTAATTGGACCAATGAGAGACAATTACAAAAAAAAATTAGGAAAATAAAATATCTTTTAGCGCAAAAAAACTTAAAGCAAAATAAATTATGTTTAGAACAAATATTTTCAAAACATTGCTCTTTTAAAATTTTTTTATAAAATTAAACAAAGTTTTTTATTTAAAGTAACATCTTACAATTTTTAAAAAGGAAACAAATGTTCTTTATTTTTTCTTTAAGTTTGCAAGTTATAGTTTTAGTAATAAGCTAAATTATTTTATAAATAAAAAAGTTACTTTTTTTGATACCTATTTTATGTTTTGCGTAGTTTGAAAAGTTTAACATTCTTAAATTCTTCTTGGTAAGATGAACAAACGAAATAATTAAATCATTGAATTACTATAGAAATTTAATTAACTAGATAGAAATAAACTAAAAAGGTTAAAAACTTTATGACCAGGAAAGCGAAACTGCTTCACAATATCGCTGATGATGTTTAGTGAGTGGGCTTTTTAATTTTAATTAGTATTTAAAGCAGAAAACAGTACAACGAGTTTTTAAGAATGGCAACTTGAGCGAAAATAATTAGAGTTAGTAAATCAATATCTAGGAACTTTTCTTTATATCTAATAACTTGCTATATATATATTTGTGTTCTGTCATAACCTCAGGCGCTGTGTTTGTTTATTCGCAAGTTACTTTGTATGCATTGTTTGTGTTTAGTAACCAGAAACTTCTTTGTAAACAAATAATAATGGTTTATAAGATTTACGGCTTTGCCGAGAATAAGCTGAAGTATTGATAATATATTCTTAAAACAATTTATGCTAGAAATCTCAAAACAATAACAAATTGTAAATAATATTTCAACAGAATACTATAGAACTTTAGATCGATTTGTCAACGTATTTTTTGAACCATTAGAATAAGTTTGTTCTTAAATTTGAGGAGTTTTTAGTGTTTGCGAATATTCTTTTTATTTTACCGCACCAAGATGTTTTGAGAACATTCAAGTTTTTATGTTTCCATGTATGGTCGTAAAACAAAAATTTTTTGGTTCGTACATAAACTTAAATGTTTTCAAAACGACTAAAAAACCTGGTCAGTTTGTCGCAACTAAATATAATTTCCGTGGTCAGTATTTAAGAGCGATCGCTCCTGCTTCCCGACCAAGCCTGTCTCTCCCATCTTTACATTTTCCTGACTCATACAACAAACAACTATTCAAGTCTTTTTTCAAAACTCTTTCCTTGCCCTTAACTCTATTCCTTGTTTTCAAGTAACTGTGAACTTAATTGGGTTAACTTAATTGTTCTTAACAAGGTTGCTTGCAGCCTTGTTGGGAGTGAATCTGAACAAAAAATTAAAAAAAAAAAGTGCACTAGATTATACTTTATTAGTAGCAGGTTCTGATCATGACCTGATCTCAAGGTCATAATCAGATCTAAATTAATTTTCAAACAATCAAAAAAAACATTTTTTGCTTTTTAAAGTTAAAATTATTTGATTTTAAAAAAATAAAAAAATAAACATAATTTTTTTATTTTTCTAATTAGCTTTTGCTTTTATTTTTAACTAAAAATAAAAAGTATTATCTTCATAAAATATTATTCTTATTTATTTTTGGTTTTAATATTTGATATATCTATTTTTGGTTTTAATACTTGATATAATACTGTTAAGTGCTAATGGTTATACAAATATTCTAAAGTCTCCAAATAAAATTCCAAAAATAGTGAATGAGTATGCAAAAAAAATATAGCATAAAATCTTAGTCCAACTAAAAACACAAACTAATCAAGGTGAAGAGTTTAGTATTACATTAGATGAGTGATAATAAATTGTTGTTATATGAATGTAAATGTACAAATTTTGGAATCTTGGTGAAAAATATATCTCTCTTTTAAAGCCGATAAATATATAGCTTTTTTTATAGAAAAAAAATAAAACATTTGGTATATTGTTGGCCAATATTCTTTTAATTATGACAGATAGACTATGAGTAATAAAAAAGTAAGAAAGGTAATAAGTGCAAATTGTCAATTGTGTTTAGTGTTCGCCATTTAATTGGCTGAAATGAACCCTAATCTGATTATCAGACATGCAAATATAGGGTTGCTGATAGAAGACTCAGCATTTTTATTAGTAAAAAATTGTTTTTTACTAATAACATTGTGTATTTCAGAATAGTTCTAAAAAATGTGAAAGACTATCAGTAATTTACTAGTAAATAGGTAAAGGATTTTTTTTTTAATGAATTTCTGGTAATGACAAAATTCAATAACTTAGCCCTGACTATGAAACATATTTACTGGTGGTAAGTATGACTATGAAACATATTTACTGGTGGTAACTATGACTATGAAACATATTTACAAGGAAATACAATACAGATTATTTCTTAAACATTGTCAAACCAATGTAAGTTTTTTGTCAAATTGTCAAACCCTAGTAAGTTTGGATAGATTACGTGACATCAACGCCTACTCCATACTGCAGTAAAAAAGGACTTCACTACAAAACAGCCAAAACCCTAACTTCATTCAAATTTGTAAAGCACTAATATTTTTGAAGAAATAATATGGATAGTGAGAGTAGTGAATTTAATACCAAATAATATAACAAATTTAAAATAAAAAATTTATATAAGATAACAAAACACTCTACAATATCTCTAGTTGTCATGCAACAAATTTATGGCCATTCAAGAGCATCATTACAATTAATAAGACTTTTGAGAAAAATTGCCTAAGTGTTGATATCTGGTCTTCTTTTTTTTCTGGTAAAAAAACACAGAGAGATCTCATAGGTGTAAATTTATATGACCTCTTATTTCAAGAATTTTATTGATACTGAAACTTCTCTCTTCTTTGTTCTTAAAAGAAAGCATAATTTGAAGAATACATTGATTAGAAAGAATACTAAGCAGACCACTTAATAGTTGGAATGACTATACTTTATAGTCACCTTTACAGGTGTTAAAAAAATTTAAGCTTGTTTTGAAATCTTAGAATTTGTTGTAGTCCTTCTATCCAACTATGCTTAAATTTGGTGTTAAACCAGACGGGGAAACACACTCCTACAATACGCTCTATAGGTTTCAGAAAATTTTTTTCCTTGAAGACCATGACAAAACCAAATTTTACATATTCAATTCAGGGCCTATTCTAGGAAAAATATTTGGGAGGTGGTACCCTTTTGTTTCAGCAGACTTTAGCGGTAAATCAACGTTTTTTTTGTGAAAAAAACAATATTTGCAGTAAAAAACGTTAAAAAAAAAAGTCCTCAAATTTTAATTTGAGTGGTGCCTAAATCGGCACCCAAATACAGTTGACGCTGTCGAAAACCGTCTAGAATAGCCCGTCTAGAATGTATATATACCGTCTATAATATATATATATACCGTCTATAATATATATATACCTATAATATATACTATATATATATATATATATATATATATATATATATATATATATACATATATATACATATATATATATATATATATATATATATACATATATATATATATATATATATATATATATATATATATATATATATATATATATATATATATATATATATATACATATATATATATATATATATATATATATATATATATATATATATATATATATATATATATATATATATATATATATATATATATATATATATATATATATATATATATATATATACAGTGTCTCAAAAAATTATCCGACCAAACAAGTTTTTCCCAAAAAAAAGTGTTTACACTCTAAATTATACTAAAAAAAATGAATAGCAATACTTACTTTGCCTGTCATTTTAATTCTATTTGGAATAGTATGTTATTTAGCGTTCATATTTTTTGATTCGTGCTTCAGTTGGTTTATTATTTGTCCTAAAAGAAACTTAGTATTGAAAAGGCTTGTAAAAAAATTATCCAACCAAGTGATATTTAGGTAAGCTTAATTAATTTTATGTGAAATTTATTGAAATATTTTATCAAATTTTTATGCAATTAATGAAATTGCATAACAAAAAACTGTTTTTTTGTAGTAAAAAAAAAGTTTTGTATAAAAAAAAGGTTTCATGTTTTTGTAAAGTAAAATGGTTGGAGGTAAACATCACTGGACTGTTTCTCAGAGAAATTTAGCTGTCGATCTAGTCAATTAGGGCAAAACCTATCGTCAGGTGCAGCAAGAGACTGGAATTCCTCATAAAACAGTATCCGACATAATGAAGAAGTTAATATGATCGGAACAACAGCCGCAAAAGAGGGACAGGGTCGCAAAAAAAAAAAGACTTTAGGAGTCTTGATAAAAAAAGTTAATTATACAAGTCAAGAAAAATCGAGTTTTGATAAAAACTTAATTATACAAGTCAAGAAAAATCGCTTCATTTCTGCTCAAAAACTGGCTGAGCAAGCTGAAGAGAATTATGGAATAAAATTATCCCATCAGACAATCAGAAATCGTACCCGAGACCAGGGATTTCAAGGACGACTTGTGCGTAATAAACCATATTTAAGTACGAAACACATGAAATGAAGATTGGAGTTTGCTAAGAAGTTCAAAAACATGCCGTTAAGTCTCTGGAAAAAGATGCTGTGGAGCAACAAATCGAAATTCAACTTAAAGTCATCTGATGGAGCCCAAATATTTTGGAAAATAGTCGGAGAAGCCTACAAATCAAGCTGCGTGAGAGGAACTGTCAAGTATGGTGGTGCTAACGTGATGGTATAGGGTTCAATGGCTTGGAAGCGTGTCGGAAAACTCCAATTTATTGATACTATAATGGATCAGGTGCAATACAGAAACATATTAAAGCAAAATTTGAAGTCATCTGCTCGAAAACATTGGCTAGGATCGGATTTTACATTTCAGCAAGTTAACGATTCCAAGGATAGTGCCACTAAAACCAAGGAGTGGTTTGATAAAAATAATGTCGAGGTCTTGGAATGGCCTGCACATTCACCCGACCTTAATCCCATTGAACATTTGTTGGAAATTTTAGACCAAAAATTTGAGATCGGTCATTTTCCAAAAAAGATAACCTCAAAGTGGCAATTGAAGAAGCCTGGGAAAAGATTCAACCAGAAGAAGCAAAATCTTTAGTCAAATCAATGCCTAGACATCTAGAAGATAAAAGCCAAGCAAAGGGAGACGCTACAAAGTAATAAAATAATTCTTTTGTTATTTAATAATTTATTATGAAACAAAAAATGTGTTTGGTCGAATATTTTTTTGACAATAAAAAAACGATCTAAGTTATTTTATTTTAAGACTGAAAACTTTGTAATACATATTTTACTCTAAAATAAATAAAAGCTATTTAAAAACATGTTCTTTTATTTTTATTAATCTAGAGTTTATCAAAAAAGTCTAAATTTACGAAAATACAGCACTTTTTTTAGGAAAAATAAAATGTTTGGTCGGATAATTTTTTGAGACACTGTATATATATATATATATATATATATATATATATATATATATATATATATATATATATATATATATATATATATATATATATATATATATACATATATATTTGTATGTGTGTATATATAACAGTGCATGTAGTGGAGAAAAAATGGTATTTGGTAAATTAAAAATACCATCCTGTCTAATCACTGTTATATATAGAGATTTATAAAAAGGTGTCTGGATGATTTCTACTTTATAAAAAGGTGAGAGGCAGGCATTCTGCCAAATATATATATATATAAATATATATATATATATATATATATATATATATATATATATATATATATATATATATATATATGTATATATATATATATATATATATATATATATATATATATATATATATATATATATATATATATATATATATATATATATATATATATATATATATATATAGGTATATATATATATATATATGCATATGCATATGTGTGTGTGTGCATATATATATATATATATATATATATATATATATATATATATATATATATATATATATATATATACATATATATATTCAGAAAAAAGCAAAGAATAATGAAAGCAAAAGATAGCTGCCCTGTTCCCTCAGTTAATATACTAATATATATAAAAAATAATAACGTGCATTGTATAATGCATTAAAACTCACAAGAGGCAGTTAAAAGTGCTTGTTCTTCTTTTGAAAAATCTTCTTTTCCTACTAAGAAATCTCTGTAGGTGTCAGATGCATATTGCAAAAAAATCTATAAATAAAAAAATACCTCTAAAATACCTATACAAAAAAACATCATATCAATCACACAGAACATTTTTCATTATGTTGTTCAAGAGTATGAAACCATAAAATAATTATTAACTCATATTTAGATTAATGTATATAATTATGCACTATATTATATTTCAAGACATCTGGCATAAAAAAAAATGTAAAAATCAAAATCGAAAACTTATCATTATTCTATAACTATCATATTGTTACAAATAAAAAAAAAATATCTGCAAATGTTTTGTTATAAGCTCTAAATTAATAGATTAATATTATGCAGGAGCTGTTAACTTTTCAAATTTTTTACATTAAATGCACACTTCCCTTGTTTATTTTACATTAATAATAAAGTACATAAAAAGAATTATGTTTTTAATTATAAGTATATAAACCCAAAATTAATTAAAGATCAACAATCAAAATAAAAAAGAAGTTTAAAAAGAAAAAGGAAGTTTAAAAAGAAAAAGGAAGTTTAAAAAGAAAAAGGAAGTTTAAAAAGAAAAAGGAAGTTTAAAAAAATTTATAGAATTAGGTAACTGAAAGTTTATTAAAAATCTTTAATATTGGTAAAATCAAAGTTGAATAGGCACCTCATAAAAAAAAGTCTTTACAACAATAACTTTTTTTTTACCTTTTGTTGGTCAGCCTCATCATCAAATCCTGGATATAAAATCTCTTCTACATTTACTTTATCAATAGTCTGCAACAACAATAATACAAAATTATCATTTATAATAAAATTTTCAGGCTACACCTAACTTTGAGCCAAAATATAATATGTATAAAACCTTGATAAGCTCTACCATCCAATGAAGGACACCCAATAAAGGAGGCCATGAATGTAAACTGCCAATAGAAAACAAAGAACTTTTAGCTATTGGAAACGGATAACCTAGAGACTTTAATATCCTAGGTACTTCTTCTTCCAACTTTTTATCCATTACAAAGTTTGCATTAATAAGACCATATAAATGCTGTAAAGAAGTATTTATAAATAATTTAAATAAAAACTACAGCCATGATTAGTGATAATATTTATTATTTTCAAATATGAATAAAGCATATAAAAGTGGATCAAATTATTGTAAAATTAGATGTATCATTAGATTTTTTTAAATATTAAAAGTACTTAATGTATTTAAAATAAATAAATTAATTAAACAACATAATATTAAGAATGATGAATATAATAATATTAATAAAAATGTTATAATAATTATGATAACAACAATAACAACGAGGACAACAATAATCATTATTATAAGAATAAAATATCAATTCTGATTTTACAGTAATGGTATCTATGCTCACTTGCAAGTTTTGGAATGTTCTAAAACCTGGGTTACAATGTTTACAAGAAAAACACCTGGATTAGTATTTTACAAGATAAACACCTGGATTACTATGTTTACAAGATAAACACCTGGATTACTATGTTTACAAGATAAACACCTGGATTACTATGTTTACAAGATAAACACCTGGATTACTATGTTTACAAGAAAAACACCTGAATTATTTATTCATTTATTTAAAATGCTTTTTGAGATTTAACACCATGTTCAATCAATAATGAACCCATCCTGATTAGAGTTCAATGAACCCATCCTGATTAGAGTTTATATCATAATGTTATAGCTTAATACCCATGTGCTAATCACGTTTGTTCTTGAAGATTTTAACAGTTTTTGTGAACATGATTTCTTCTAGTATTTTAATCCACCGTTCTGCAACTTTGTCAGAAAATTTGTTTGTTGCTTATTGTAAGTAGTTATTGATACCAAGATACTTTGTTCAATTAATGAAATATTTATCAGAATATTTATCTTATTATTATCCTTTTAAGTAAATGATAAAGTATTTAATTAATTGACCTAATTAACTCTTTACGTTTTTTAAAACATATTTACATAGTAATTCAACTTCACAGTATTTGATATCGATGCTAATGTCTTTTTCCATAGTTGTTGAGGTTATTTTTGAATCTTTTATATTATATTGAAAATTGGTATTATATTTTACAAAGTGCATGATTTTATATTTTCAATGTTAAAAATTATCATCCATTTGTCAGACCATTTCATTTAAAAATTCAATATGATCTTTGAGGAATTTTGATATCATTAGCTATAATTTTATTATCATCTGCATAAAGTTTGCATTTATCATTAAATTTTAAAGGTAAATTAATGATATGTAATAAAAGCAATAATAGCCCAAGTACACCACTCAACCTCTTTAAACAATCTGATTTTGTATCACCAATTACAAAACATTTTCTATTTGATAAATATGCTTCTATACATTTTATCAGTTCTTATACCACATAATTTTGATAATACTCTCTTATAAGGTGCCAAATGCTTTTTGAAAATCAGTATATAAAATGTCAATTGAACTGCCTATCATTTTGAAAATTATATGAAATCTAAAGATTCTAATAAACTTGTAATAAAGTTTTTACCTTTTAAGAAACCATGTTGTTGATTGCAAAGAAGATGATTTAATTCTATGTTGATTATGGATTACTATTCTGTTTGTTTTTTTCAAATTTGATTGGTTATAAAAAATGGTTATAAATTGTTGTAGTTTTTAACTTTGATTGTGATCTGTATATTCGCATCAATTAATTTTAAAAATTATGAAAAGGAAGCATCATTGATATTTTTAAAACGTGTATACAAGTCATCAATATAACATTTGTAAGTTATGGGCTTGCAGTGATAAGGATACTGAAAAGATAATTGAGGCTTTTCTATATGTTGAAAATAACCCTCAGGATAACAACTATAAGGGACAAGCCTATTAGGCCAAAATATTCTAGTTTTTAAGAAAAAGTACAATCAAAATTTTATAAAATATTATCTAAACAAAGCTTTTGTATTTTTAAAAATGTGTTTGTATTCAATACAACTTTTATATTTATAAATTTTTTAAATGGGATATAAGTTGACAATATAACAAGAAACTTTTTTTTTTTCCAAATGCCATTTATCTATTAATACAAAACCTTTTAAAAACTATGTTACTTTTTTGGAAGATTGAATTAATCGGTTTTAAAATATTTTCAAAAACTTTTTATGGTAGAGTATTATTAGTAGATAATACACAGCAATACACAAGGGATTATTGTTTAAAGATCTATGGAGAGTAGGTTATTGTTTGGTCTGTGTAGTCTTTTTAGGTTATACATAAAACATGGATGATCATACTTTTTTATATATGCAATTTCACTTCTAACAAAGCTGTAAGCAACAAATAATAGTAAAATATTTATGAGTTGACAGAAAACAAAAAAGAAAGCTATAGAGCATGAAGGAAGACATTAGAAACTTCCCTCGAACATCTAATTCTTTGGAATTCGCTTTCTTCATCTTGCTTTCCTGATTCATATAATTTGCAATCTTTCAAGACGTCTGTCAATCGTTATCTTGCTCTACAACCTTCATCTTCTCTCTTCCAGTAACTTCCAACTGTAATTAGTGGTTGCTTGATGTTTAAAAAAAAAAACTCATTAGAGTGTTACTATTTATCAATATAACAATACCAACAACACAACAATAGTTAGTTTTTGTTAAGACTATAGTTGTTTTATTTAGATGGATTCAGGAAGATCAGGAACAACATAGGACTAAGGATGGAACCTTGTGGTATCCCATAGTTTACTTAAAACAAAAGACAATTTTAATACTGTGGTTAGAAAAAAATGATTCACCAAATACATAAACATTCTTAGATACACAATATGAAACAAGCATACCAGACTTTAAAGAAAGCTTTAGTCAATAGCAATAACCTAACAGATTCTTATGCATGATACTTTTTTGTTATAACAGTTTACAAGTCAGCAACAAGAGAATCAAAATCTGCATGGATTGTCAGAGATTGTCGAACTCAAAATGATATATTAGAAGTTTGTTAACTAATGATTCAAATGAATCAAAAAACTTTGCAAATAATAGTAAGAAGACTGATTGAAAGTCCATTATAGCCTTCCTAAAAGTAAAAAAAATCATGCACAGAAACTCATATATGTTTTATCTATTATTTTCATAAAAATAAAACTGGCAAATCTCCAATTTACTCTCATTTAATTCTCATCTATATAAATATTTTGTAAACAAACAAATGGTTATACATCAGTAAACTTTAATTCATTGGAAAATATAAACTTCAGAAGTATACTTTTTTTTTAAATAATATTTAAGATATTTGTAAAGATTTCCAGAAAGTTACAAAATTGCACTTTCTATCATCGAGTCACAGCAATCATTTAAATGCAGTTTATGAATCACACATAAATGTCACACATGGAAGTTGCAAATTTGTAAATTTCATGTAGTTGTTTTTATAATAATAAATTGCTTGTGAGTATTTTAAGTGAAATATTATATTTCTACAACTAATATTTTACATATTTTCAATGAGAAACAGCAGTCATCAAGTAATTCTAGTTAGAGCAAAGCGTTTTGAAAATTATTGAATATTTTTAAAACTATTGCAATATAAACATGCAAAATAAAAATTATAAAAAAAAAATATTTTAATTAATCTAGGCAGTCTAAAATAGGATAAAAATATTTTTGTTATAACTGTTCTTTAAGAAAATCATAATATTGCTATAAATCTAGGGTTCTAAATGTTAAAACAATAAAAATAAAAAACCACGCACAGAATTGAAAATGCCCATATATATAACTTTAAAAAAAATATTTTTTTAAATTTTACTTTAAAAAGTGTTTCTTAACAATATAAATATTTAATAGAAGTATTTGAAATATTTTTTAACACTTTTATTATTTACTGTTCAAGTCATACCTCAAACACCTTTGAAAAATCTTTTGTTGTGGGCGAAGATAAATTCTTAGTAGATATGGAATGTGGATAGCCAGTATTGTTAAGCAACTATTAAGATTAAAAAAAAAAAAAAATTTTTTTAAATAAATGTATTTAAAAATAGTTTAATTGATATCTATATTACAAACAGGCTTAATCTATAAATATCCATTAAAATCTTTAAAACATCTCATATTACACAATAATGTGTTATATCATTATATAAAATGTGACAATGTATAAATGACTTTTAGAAAGCATAAAAGCTTCTATATATTTTATAGTAATATTTAGTAAGTAAATAATTTGTTTTTAATTAATTAGAAATTAAGTTTGAAAATTTAAACATTATAAATTTTTTTATACTCACTTCAAGAATTTCATCTATCATTTGCTTTTGGTAATCTATATATATAGGTAAAATGGAAAATATATATGCACTATGTTTATGTATATATATATATATATATATATATATATATATATATATATATATATATATATATATATATATATAATATATATATATATATATATATATATATATGCATAATAGATACATATATATTTATAAGAAAATTCATAATTAGATATTATTAATGAATTTACTATATATTACATAACAATAACAATTTTATAATTAAGTAATATAAATTTAAAAAACTTGCAAACTAATATTAAATATAAAATATTAAATATACACAGCTTACTTCGATTACTTAATGGACGTTGATCTTTTCCTTGCGAATTATGAGCTCCTTGTGTTGACCACCTTTAACAAAATATAAAAAAAATAATAATACAGTCTTGTAAATAAACAGTGCTGATAACCTGTGGTGAGCAATTCTGTATTGAATATAATATTAAACATGAAAGTATACTTTGTATATTTATTTGCCTTTAACGAAAAATTACAATTATAGAATAGCTTTATTACAAATATAATTAGCAGGACTTCCAGAAGATCATGCAAACTCATCATGAAACCCATTACAATATTTTTATTTTTTTATTACTTTTATTTATTTATTTTATCATTACTAATATCAATAACTTTACTTTTTGTTAAAAGAATAAATGGATAAAAATATTTAAATTTACTATAAAAAATTAAACTGAAAATAGGTATGAAAAAAAAGAACACCTTCTGTTACCAACAGCACCGCTTTGAGAAGCAGTGCCAAAACTCAAATGCCGCTTTTCAGTTTCTTGTTGTCTCAGTTTAGCAGCTGCACTTCCAAAACCTAATATAGATTTTCTAGTGCTTTGAGGTGTTTGTAGATTCCTTCGGTTTGATGCCATTTTTCAAAAATTAACTTAACGATATTAACTTATTTAAGTTTTTTTTTACATTTACTATTGTTACATACCTATATATATATATATATATATATATATATATATATATATATATATATATATATATATATATATATATATATATATATATATATATATATATATATATTTATATATATGTATATATATATATATATATATATATTTATATATATGTATATATATATATATATATATATATATATATATATATATATATATATATATATATATATATATATATAAAATACTTGTTACGAGATTTTCTTTCAATGGCTGTACTTTTTCACTGAAACAACACATCTTTATTTTTTATGTTGTTAATGATGTTTTGTAAGCAAATTTAACTTAAATTTGTGTAAATTGTTGTTCGTGCCCTTTAAAGCATTAAATAGAAATAATAACCAAATTTTTTATTGCAAGAAGTACGTTCATAGCTTTATGTATGACTGTAGTATACATAAAACATATTGAAAGTAAATCATAGAAATAAAAATAAGGTATTAAAAATTTAAAAAAGTAAAAATCTTTTATTAAAAACAACAAGATATTAACACAATTGTACATACATTTTTATATATGGGTTTAATAAAACTCAAAAAGTGTAAAAATCTTTTCTTCATGACGAAGTAATATATGTCATATTTTGTTGTACATGTGTGTGTGTGTGTGTGTGTGTGTGTGTGTGTGTGTGTGTGTGTGTGTGTGTGTGTGTGTGCGTAAATATATTGGGCTAGGACAGAAATGGTGTGCAAGCATGCTACAACTCACCACGCTTATAACTTTTTTCTTTAAAATTTGACCACAGCTGTTTTGATGTTTTTTTAAATGCAATTTTAAAAATTATTACAACATGAATAACTTTTAATCGTTAATCTTTTGTAAAGGTTTTATTTTACCCGAAGGCTTTAAATAAAATAAATTTATTATAACGATTGATTAAAATAAATGCATTTGTGTAAATTAACAAAAGGTTTTAAATATTTTTTTTTTTATATAGCCACGTATTTTTCAAGATAAATTTAAGTGTTTGACACTTTTTCAATGTCTTTCTTAAAAATTTTTAAGTGATTATTTTTTGAAAGTTTTTTTCTTTAGTTGCTTGAGAACAAGTGTAGAAACATTTTATATAAATTAACAACCAGTAATTTTTACTTCAGGTTTGAGTTTTTTAAGTTTTATTTTAGTGTTTATATATTTTCTTAGGAATTGTTTTCTTTTTTCTTTAGTTTTTTTTTAATTTTCTTCCTAGTTTAAATTTAGCTTAGCGTTTCTTTTTTCAGCACATTTCTGAAATGTTTAAATCATCAAAACAGTCATGGTCAAGTTGTCAAAAATAAAAATCATTTTCATGGTCAGCAATGATATTTAATGGCATGCCATTCTTGTCCAAACGAGATATATAGAGGTAGTGTAGTGAATTTAATAGTCTATAATTAATTCTAAGCCAACATAGAGGTTTTATTCTACATATAACAATATGTAAACTAAAATATACAAACAGGTTAGTTTTAGTATACACATAATAAAACTCAACAAGGATAATAATAATCATAAGTATCAGCACATTCTACCCTACTGAATAAAAATAAATAAATAAGCTCAAATAGTTCAAACATAGTCATTTGAATATTTAGGAGTATTCCAGGATCTTCCTGAACAACGAGAGACTGATTCTTCAATAGAAACTCCACTAGGATTTGTAGTAGAGAGAGTAGAAAAGTTTTGGGATCTTTTAGGATGGAGAGGCTCAGGTGAAGAGATTATATCTTCCGTCATTATCACTGATTATATCAGCCATTGGTGCAAGATGTCTTGTAGCAACAGTGGTTTCACGTCCATCAGGCATTCTTACATTTTATATTAAAAATATAAATAAGAATATTTAAAAGCCTCTAAAAGATTAATCTCTTCAACCGTAATTAAATGTTTAACTCAACTTTTCAATTTATTTGGTATGCCAGCTTATATATATCATGACAAGGAAATAAAAGGGAAATCTTGAAAACTTATTAACAACTGTTAAAAAATATTTGTTGCTAGATGAAGACGAAATAGGTCTTTTAAAATCCATGCTTAGTCGCTAAAAATGTTGAGTGTATTTTATTTTGGTGTGTAAAATGCTTACATAGTATTTTGGTTTTAATTCAGCACAAATAATTCAGCACAAATTTGACACAAAGAAACGTTGTTTTTTTTTGCATCATCAATTGAAAAAAGCAGATTTTTCGATTTTATAGAATGATACATTCTGGTGATTCCAGGGTGACAAAGAGATTCATATAGTTTCTTAGAGCAACAAGATCTAGAGAGTGCATCAGCAACAAAATTGTTACACCCAGGAGATCGAAGTATGAAGCTGTATGAAGAAAGTGCTATACTCCATCTCAGAATCTTGTCATTCTTAATATTTCCACTCTTGTTATTGTCAAACATGAAGGAGACAGAGAGCTGGTCAATGACTAGGGTAAAATACCGAACAGCAAGGTTGTGTTTCCATTTTCGAAGTGATTCGACCATAGCATAAGCTTCCTTCTCAAGTTTTTTTTTCAGTAGTTGAAAGTTTGCGAGAAAAGAATGCAACTGGTCTTCCAGACTGATTAAGGGAAACAGCTACAGTAAAATCAGAGGCATCTGTTTCCACCTCAAATAATATACTTTTATCAATAGCTTGTAGAGCTGATTCAGAGAATAATTCTTTCATTTCATTAAAACATTTAATAGCTTCAGCTGACAGTGGAAAGGTAGAAGTTAAAGATAAAGAATAAATTTTGTGGGAAAAATGTTCGATATATTGGGAACAGTATGAGAACATAAAAAGAACTCAACAGAGAGAAGCACTATCAGTGGGAGCAGGCATTTCAATTAATAGCTTTAAGCAATCTGGATCAGGAGAAAAAGAGCCACTTTTTATAATAAAACCTAGGAAGGTTATACATGAAGTAGACAATATAGACTTTTCTTCATTGAACATAAACATTGCTTTCTTAGAAGCTTTAAGAAATTTTTCTAAATTGAAATCATGTTTGTTTTTAGATGCACCACATACAAGCAAGTTATCTAGATATACAAAGGTGTCCTCTAATTTGTTTTCTTGAATAAACTTATCCATAATTCTTTGTAATTGTGCGACAGCATTAGTGAGGCCAAAAGGAATTCTTTTAAATTGGAAAAGATATCATTTTCTAGGAGAGGTATTTGGTGATAAGCACTTTCTAAATCAAATGTGCTAAATAATGAATTTTTTGTAACAGAGTTAATTAATTCATTGATGTTAAGTAAAGGCATCAAGTAGTGTAAAGTGATTTATTGTTTGTGAGTAATCAATGACCATGTGTTTTTTATATCTCATTCCTGGTAAAAACTGTTTGTGATCACCAAGGAGAGTTACTGGATTCAATTATATTTAGTTCCAAAGTTTTTCTAGTTTCTTGCTCAATGAATGCTTTGTCCTCTGAGTTAAGTAGTCTAGAAGGTGAAGCAATCGGTCTACATTCTGGAGATAGAAAAAGGAAAAGATTGCTAGCTTTCATTGTAATACTATTTAGAGAACAGATTTTTAAATAATCTTTTTTACCACCATAATTGTTATAAAGAATTTTGTGCAACTGTAGGAAATCTCCCTAAGTATGATTTGTTTGCAAGAGTTGGGTATAACCAAAAGGTTAGTATTAGAGTACTTCATGCCAAATAAAGTAAAGTTAGTTAAAATTTTAGCTATGACTTGACAAGATAATGAAGGATCAGCCATAGAGACTTTTTTTTATTAGAAAGGAGTATATTAAGTTTTAAAGAGTCACATAATAATGTATCAGAGCTTACAGTGTCAAGAAGAGCTCTTAATTTGGCCCTAGCAATAAAGATATAAACAATAGAATTGAGTGAGTTGATAGAAGAGCAAGTAATCGAGTCTAAACTTGGTGCATGGAAGTTAGCAGCAGCAGACATGACAAAGTTCTTTGATGATTTGCGTACTTTTTTTGAAATACGCAAATGAAATCCTTTCTTACTACAATTTTTACATTCTGCATCTCTGGCAGGACATGATTGTCAAGGGTGATTTTTATTTCCACAGAAATAACAAAGTCTACTAGGCTTAGTAGAAAGTGAAGCAAGCTCAGTAATACATTCAGAATGTTTATTAATTGTAACAACATTACTATACTCTGTATGTGAATACATTTCATTATTTCTTTGAGCGTTTTGTAATGAACAAGCTTGATTATAGACCTCAGTAAGTTTAAGAGTAAAGTTTTCTAGCAGTCATTGGCGAGTATGATAAGAGCTTAGATCATAAATGAATCACAAATATATTCTTCACAATGTTCTGAAGCAGAAATTTGTTTAAAGTTGCAATCTTTACTGAGTTTACATAAGGCCTGCAAAAAAAGATTCTCCATATGATTGTTAATGTGAAGTAACTGATGTCTGGAATATAATTCATTTTTAGGTTTTACAAATAAGTTTTGCATAATTTCTATCATGCCATCAAATGATTCAATGTCAGCAATATAGTCGAAGGAGATAAATAGTTAATGAGGACATCTAATTAAATTTCTGTTTAATTTTCATAGAGTTTGTAAAAATTCTCAACCAGTGTGACCACTCTATAGAAGATCGCTGTCAAATCGTTCCAGACTTAGATATTTATTCATTAAAATATGAAAAATAAATTGTAGTGTAGTGAATTTAATAGTCTATAATTAATTCTAAACCGACAAAGAAGGCTTTATTCTTCATATAATAATATGTAAACTAAAAGATACAAATAGGTTAGTTTTAGTATACACATAATAAAACTCAAGAAGGATAATAATAATGATAAGGATCAGCACAATATGTGTGTGTGTGTGTGTGTGTGTGTGTGTGTGTGTGTGTGTGTGTATGAGTGTGTGTGTGTAAAGTGTACAACATAAACATCATGTTCTGTTTTACACTAACAAATTTAATAACATAGTTTAATAAAAATGTATTAATATAGTTAGATAAAATAAATAATTAAAATTTATTTAGTAGACTGTTGTACTGTCGCATACATTTCAAATTACATCTGTATTGTTTCAAATTAAGACATCATTTGGAATGTAATTATGCCTCAATTGAATACTTTTTATATATAAATAATTATTTGAACTTGAAGTTATCGATATATTTGAAGTTATCGATATTGGTCTTTATTTTTTTATCTGCTTATTTGTTTTTACATTCAGTTTTTTTTTTCTCTATATGTGCAATACATTTTCTTTTCTGTACATTAATTTTACCAACTTTCAATTTTCTCAGGTTCTCTGAGATTTTAACTATACATAAACCTAAACAGCAAACTATTAACATTTATATTTGTTTATAAAACTTAAATTTATAAACAAATAATTGATTTAAAGACCCTTTAAACCAATTGTTTATAAAAATTTTTAATTGCATTTATACATGATGCTGATTCACACTGAATATAAATTTGAAATTACCACTAAGTAGTTGTTTTTCGTGTTTAATTTGGTAAAGAAAATTGGGAAAGAAATAGGGATTAAAACTAAATTATATCAATGCTAAACTTATGTTAAGGGCATTAATATACACAAAATATTTATAGGATTTTTCTTCAAACCATGTTAACTATTTAGTTCTCGATTTTTTGAATTTATTAATTTTATCTGTGTAATGTCGTACATGTTAACTAACAATAATAAAACTGCGAGTGACAAAGTTTTATTGAAAAAAATTTGGCTTTTAACTTCAAAATTTAAAAAAATCCAAATTTTATTAACTTTTTAATTTTTTTTATATACACTTTTATAATTAAAAAAATTTTCCTATACACTACAAAAAATGTATTTTAAAATCTATATTTAATTTATTTTTTATCAAAATACGTTAAAAGTTTGTAAGAAAGCGCGCCTAAAAAAGTTAGCTTTCTGATTAACAATATATGCTGAATTTTTTTAACATTATTTTTCTTTTAAAAAACGCGCCTAAGCCTCTCTTCCGAAATATGACAACTTTGCGCATTTCTATATTTATTTTCCACATTACGTCACAATTAAACTGCTTTGATCCCTTGATCCATGATCCATGTATTGAATATAAATGTTGCAAAACTTGCCCGTGGTTCAAACCTTACCACTGGGCAAGTTTTGCGGCATCGGTTAGGAAGGAGGCGTGAACATCAAATTAAATGCTCATCCGTGGTGCTCTTTGATAAGGCCATTAGGGTAGCTAAATAAAATTAAAAGAAAAAAATGATCGATGTAGTTAATGCCGATATACTGGCAACGTCGAAAGGCAACTGATTCCAAATGTTAACAGTTCGGTAAAAGAAACTATATTTAAAAATATCTAGTTGACATCGTTGTTTACGTATTTTATATTTATGTCCTCGCATTTTGTTTTTATTGTTAATAAAAAATATATAGGTTTATCCATTAAAACCAATTTATGCAGAATTTTGAAGCAAGTCGATAAACCATTTTTTAATCGCTTTATCTCAAGCGACTCTAAATCAAGCAACTGAAGTCGACTATAATAGGTGAGTGTAAGATTTTTTTGTGAAACATGATATGGCGACCAAACTGGGGAGCAATATTCTAATATAGGCTTAATACATGTGGTGAAGGTTCTTACTAAGGTACAAGGATCGCGAGAGTTAAAGCATTCTAAAATAAGGTATGCTATAGTATTAGAAGTATAAGCTAAAGTATGATCTTCTAAGCTATAGTTAAAATTGATACATTTTTTAATGAAGCAGGCGCAATTCTATGAACAAAACACTTGCTGCAAGAAATAGGTAGTTGCCATGTTTTTGAACAAAGTACAACGATATCAAGAGCAATAACTGTGGTGATAACTATCCGTGTTGCAAAATGAACTATATAACTTGATGTCATCAGCAAAAAGCTTTAAAGAGCAATTTAGATTGTTAACTTAAGCGGTTAAACTATTGATATATAGTAAGAATAATGTTGGACCTAACACGTTTCCTAAAGGAACTCTGCAAACAATGAGATTTGAGTTTGATAATGAACTTCCAGCCTTAACTTGTTGACATCTATTGGTAAGAAATGCACCAATCCAATTTAATAAATTATCTCTTTTGTTAAACTTAGCAAGTTTAGTTAATAATTTAAGATGACATGCAGAATAAAATGTCTTTTGAAAGTCATTATTAACAACATCTGTTGTTAGATGGTTGTCTAGTGCAATACTCCATTAATTTACAGATTTTAAAAAATTTGTACATGAAGAACATTTTTTGAGGAAGCTATATTGATTATTGGCTTTTATGTTATGATGAGTTAAGCAGAGGCGATTCTACAAATTAAATGGGGGGGGGGGGAATGAATCCTTAAAAAATATCAATTGGCTTCTTAAAAAAAAAAAGGTTCTAAAATTTACCCGACTGAATTGTCAAATACCCGACTAGCGGCTGATTTCGGAAAAAAACCGACTATAACTTGAAAATAACTTTCTTTTGGGGGGAGGGGGTGTTCCACCTCCCTAAAATTGCCTCTGGAGTTAAGTACTTAATAATATCCGAATTCTTTTTTGTTGCACAATATGAAGTGAATGTGAGTGAAACTCGTCTATAATTTTTAGGATCTGATGTCAGGACCATAAGATGGGTACTGGGTTTGAGACCGATTAAAGTTGAATAAATCAATCAACAGAAAAGTTAACGTTTTCAATGTTATAGAGTCGTTAAGAAAACTATTAATTTTAACGATTTGTTGTTATTTTCCGTAATGATACTTTCAAAGCGTTTTAGCAGTTTCTTTATTGCTAGAAGTTTCTTCATTGTTAGAAATTGTATGGTAGTTCATTTTAAGGTTATTTTGTTTATTATTAACATAGTTAAAGAACTTACAAAGTTAATTAGGCCGGGTGAATCAAAATAAGCAATTGCTTTTACTCAGTAATTGGTCCGCTTTACGTGAATAAAAACATAAGCAGTTTTTCTCAAATTTTTATTCACGTAAAGTTAAGCCATTTTTTTAGTAATTGTTCGGCTTTACGAAAATAAAAACTTAGCCAAAATTCCTTTAGCTTTTATTCACGTAAAGCTGACCAATTACTGAGTAAAAGCAATTGCTCGTTTTTATTCACCCGGCCATCAACTAATTTGAGATCGATTTTTATAAGGTAAGAGAGAAAGGTTTGTTTAAATTTAATGGCGTTTGTGATAATGATAATCATCCAAAATCTATTTTGTGTGGATTGATAATAATCGGACTAATAAGGTGGATTAATAATAATTGTACTAATAATAATCTATTTTGTATGGATTGGTTTTAGTAACGGAATATCTTTTCCATGAAAATAATTTACAACTTTACACTTTCTTGATATACCTAGGGTAAATATATCTTTTTTTACTATGATATATTTTTCTTACTGGAACGAAATGGTCAATTTTATCCAAAAACGATTCGAGAAAATGTTTCAATATTTGCCAATATTGAAAATATAAGAAGTTTAACATAAGCGTTTGATGCATTAATTTAACTTTATTCCTCTTCAAATAAATTTGTGATACCTAATCTTGACGAATTGAAATAGTAAACAATTACCTCACTATATAGTGTTATGGTTGCGCCCATTATAGATGTTAAAAGTTTTAACTCAATTAACTCATCTAAATTTTTTTTTTTAAGTTTCAATTCTTTGCAAAGTCTGCAAGTAGTGATTAAATTTATGTTGTTGACCATAAATGTAAGCTAAATATGCGGCATGTGGTTGTGTTTCAGCAATTATTGATAAGCGCTTCATCTCTTGACACCAACTAAAGACTTTCTTTAACATATTTTTCTTTAAACTCCTTATTTCCAATTGCAGCTCACAGATGTTTCTTCCCTTAAGTTGTAAAGTTGATTTCGGTTGTTTTAAATACTATTTTTGCTTCGTTTAGTAGATTGCACCTTATTACTACTAGTAATCTGGGCTAAACCAAAAATACTTTCTTTAATGCAAAATAAATGTCAATTAGTAATGCTCGAGTTTAAATGCGACTATTAATGGAGATTTAAGTACGTGCACTGATAGGAGACAGGATACATATACGTATGTGGATTGGGGGTCAACTATAAAAGTAAATACATAGTATTTAAAAATAAATTTTGGAAGATACTTTTTCCTAAAGTAACTCAATGTATAGTAAATGACCTAAAAACTTGTTAAACTTACAACTGATGTCGGATTTTAAATTTGCTTTTCGAGTTGTACTTAACATACATCAAGCTTAACTATAGTTGAGTTTGATGTATGTTAAATCAAATAAACATGCTAGAAGATAAAAAAGAAAATATTCTCATGTAGCTAATGTGTATGATGAGAATACACTGCTATTCAGTCAGGAACGCTTTTTAATAGATCAACAAAATAAGGTGAACTTTATTAGGATGCTAGCAAAAGATTTTATAGATGCAGGGCATAGAATATATACATGTTAAGATGATGCTGATACAACAGTTGTTTCAACTACTTTATAGTTAGCATTAAATAACGAAGTTGCAGCTGTTGCTGATGACACTGATGTAGCTGTAATTTTTATAGTTGGAGAGAAAACCTGTTCAATGTTTACTTAATGTCAGGAAATAGTAATCGTCTCTGGATATAAACTAATTAAAATGCATAATCAACAAATTCAAAGAATGTTTATTATTTGTACATGCATAATCAGAGTAAGATACTACTTTTGCTACATAAAGAAAAGAAAAACTCAGCTTTATAATTCTTTTAATAAATAACATGAGCTTCAAGAAAAATATCATTTAATAAAAAACTTGCTGATAAAGTTGAAATTGGTAAACAATTTTGGCGTTGGATTTTGGACAGTAATTTTGGTGTTTATTGCAATTTTATACGAAAAAAACAAAAGCGATCAAATTAAATAAAAAGGAAAAGTTAAAAAATTCAACATTAAAAAAATTCAATTTATTTACACAATAAAATTATTATCTACATAAGCATAGGTTACGTTGTTTAACTCTTCATCACTAAGATGACCTTTTTCTTGTAAAAATCCTAAAACTCTAGTCACCATATATGTAAATGGGTTATGTTCAAGCACTTTTATTGTTGAAAGATTTCCTCTCCTGCGAGTAGAATTATCTCTTCTTACAGGAGCTTTATAACGAAAACGCATGGCTTCATAAAAAGACTCTTGTGTCATCACTGGTTCCGGTGATTTTTCTCTTGTGACTTTTGTTTTATGAGTTACTTTTTTAATTACTTTTTTAGATTTCGGTGGATCAACTTTGTTTAAAGAAGTCAATGAAGATCTATGAGGTTCTGATCGTTCTTGCCTTGATGAAGTCATTGGCTCGGGTTCGACTTCTTCATTTTCTTCCTCCTCTTCTTCTTCCTCGTGGTGGTAAGGTTTTTGCTTCACTCTTTCAGCTAGTGTTTTATAAACGTTTACAACTTTTAGTTTGTGTTTACCTATTGAAAATGGTAGTTTACTTGTTTTTGATGTGTGCGGCAATGCAGACGGTTTTGAAGAACGCTCTGTGCTAGAAACACTTGGTTGAACTAAAGGAGTTGCTTGATATGTAGTACTAGTTGGTATTCCTTTACGAGGAGGACGAGGTTTAGGTGATGGTTCAGATTTATTAGGTTCTATGTCTTCCTCAAATATTTCTTCCGTTATTGTCTCAATAGTTTCTGTTTTTGGCGTAGGAGGAGGTTCTTCTATTGGTTCATATAGAACAGGTAACTGAGGTAACATTCTTATTACAGTAGCAGTGCTTCTTTCTTTAGGAAAAACTCTTAAATAATAATTATATAATAAATCTCTAATTTTTCCTAATTCAAATCCTATTTTTGCGTGTTTAAACTGAGGAGGAATTGAATGTACATTTATAATCTCCAAATCAATTCCAGTTGCAAGTAGTACAAATAGTTCTGTAAATATTTGCATCTCCGTAAATACATTATATATAATGTCTATATGAAAAATAGGTTTTAGATCAGGGTAAAATTCTCTGGGAAACGAAGAACCATCTTGTTGTATACACTCAAAATACTTTAGCACATTTGATCCAAATACGGCTTGCGCTTTTGAAAAACGTTCCATCTCAAAGTAAAACAACGATTCGCAATCGATTTCAAAAACTTCCACATTGTTCATTAAATTTTTTTTTTCATTCTGTGTCAAAAAAACGCCATAGTATTCAAGATTATTTATAATTTCTAAACAAAAATTTAAAGTAATAATAAAGAATTTTAAGACAAGCAAAACACAGCAACACCAATATTCAAAACACAGGACGCTAAAGTTGACAAAATGTTACATAAAAGTAAAATGCAACAACAATGAGCACAAACAAAGTAATACCATTTGTTATCTATAATATTTTATGATATACTTACCACAAAACACAAAATAATACTATATATTTTATGTTTTGTAATATTTTTAGCTTATATATTCTAAAGTTACTAAACTTTATTTTTAGGTTTACTTAGCTGCACCTCTGCGTATGAATAAAAAAGTCTCAATTAAGAAAGACTTAAACTGATAAAAGTAGATGATCAATTATTTGAACATACAAATAAGAAGTATGCATAAACTGAATTCATGTTTTGAGATAGGACACTTGTTTATCTAATAACAACAATTAGACGGAACAAGAATGGAATTAAGTTATATATACAACGTAATATAGCTGTATATAGAATAAATCTAAATCACTTTATAAAGGAAAGTGATTATTATATGATTAAACTCTTTTCTATACACATAGTCCACTTCAAATATTCATTTATAGTGTGGTGTTTGTATTTATTGTGGTTTTAATAGTATCAGTAATATAGCCACACTCGTCAAATACACCAGCGCCATCTCATGAAAGAAAGTGGTTAGTATATAGTTAATAAATAGTTGCGATATATAATTCACATAAAATTTCGTAAACCGGTTTTTAACCCAAGTTAAGTATACACTTTAATTACCGATTCAAGACCACTTTTAAAGTAGCATATTACCAGATTAAATGTTCTAACCCATCCCTAAAATCTAAAAGGGTAATTAATTAACTTAAGTTACTTTTAATTAACTTTGTTTTAACTTAGTAAATGTTTTAGCACTGTTCATTAAAAGGTAAAAATACCTGTTTTAGTTCCAATCCAAACCGGTTTTTCTTCGTTTAAATCAAGCATCACTTCCCTAATGCGAAATACGTTTGAAGTGCGGATTTTATAAAACAAGCCTAAAAATGAACCTTGGTACTTGTAAGTGTAAACAAATTAAATCTTTGAATGACGAAATCGCTAGAAAAATCTCAAATAACACCGTCTAAAAAATAGATAACATATAAAAATAACCCATACAAATAAAAATAACCTAAAACTTTAGATACGAATTCTTGTTCTTGATGATGCTTAGCCCTGTTATCAGACTCATCTTGAGCTTCTCGATCTCTTAAACAAATAAAACCAGAAACAGTTAGAGATACAGCAGTACAAATAAAACAAATTAGGGTCATAACGGCTGGTACGATGATTGTAGTAGAGTGCCATATATCAAGGTCAGATATCAAATAAGAGCTGTTTTTCATTATCAAAAGAAAATTAAGCTATTGTAACAGAGATAAAAAATTAAGCAAAATAGACATGTCATAATAATGATTTGAATATCCAACTTATTTAGTAACATTCAAAGTAATCAACCATTGTTTTACAGAAACTGCTTAAACATTGAATACAGCAAGACTCACTTTATGTATTGCAGTTTAATAAAATCGCTGTTTTTTTGCGTAGAAAAATGCATTCAGGCATGAAGTTTATAAATGTTTAAGAAATATTTTTATTGTAAAAAAAAAATTAATATCCCAATGAATTAATTAGAAGCCTGAAAAGGAGAATTTAATACTCATTTGCCTATAACTAAGTTCATACAGTTTGTCTATATATTGATTGAATACTAATTTTCCAATAAAACTGAAACGTGAGAAAAAGTTTAACCGCACCTTTTTTATTAATTTCTACTTTTTTTGATTTCAAAAAGTTTATGAGCTTGTTGTACTAGTTTAGTGAAATGACATGTCTTCTAGTAACACGTGATACAGTAACGCGTGATATAATAAGATGTGGTGAAGAATAATAACTGTTTGTCTTCTTACGACGCCTTAACCCTTTCTTTCCCGATTTATTAAATTAAAAAAAAAAATTACAATGACATTCAAGATTTTCAAAAAACAATTCGAATCGACGCGTTCATTTTTAAATTGCACATATTGCCACCTTGTAGGAAGTAGCAAAAGTTAAGCATTACTTAAAATTAAAAAAAGATAAAACAGGGTTTGATTTTTGAATTTAAAATTTGTGTTGCCAAATGGCAACATTGGGAAAGAAAAGGTTAATAACAACAACAACAAAATTAGTAAATTAATTTCTTTTGAATGGAAAAACGTTAAAAATTAATAAAGTAATTTTTGCAATATACACACGAATACAGATTAATTCGAGGATTGAAATCAGGTGAAAAGTGAATGTGAAGATAGTTGTGAAAGTAGTTTTCCAATAAAGCATAGACAACAGGCGCATAGAAAATGAAGATAAAATAGTTTTCCTACTAAGCATAGACAACAGGCGCATAGAAAGTGAAGATAAAATTTCCAACAAACATTACACCAAGAGAAACATCACGAAATCGTAAAAATAGTTTTTTTCAAAACTTTTCGTCAATTTTTAAAAATTGATCTAAGCTGTGAGAGAAAGTCCTGACACCTAAGTTGTGAGAGAAATTCTTGACACCTAAGTTGTGAAAGAAAATTAAATAATAAAATCTTGATTTTAAGACTGATGGAAAAATTTTATTCTGCAAGTTGTGCAATAAATCTTTTTCAGCAGTGAAAATATTTAATGTTAAATGGTATCTTCGAATTTCAAAACATATTGAAATATTGTTGCTAAGTCTGCGACAACTTCAAAACTGAAACTAATTGGCGAGACAAGCCAATCAGATGTTTGCTCACGACTTGTGTAGTGCTTTTGTAGCTGCTGATATACCGCTAAATAAAGTTTGCAACAAAAAAGTTATAGATTTCTTACAAAATTTTAGGTCATCCTAGCCCGCCAGCGAAATAACGGTTGTAATCTCTCCAACCTTCCCTCCCCCCCCCCCCCCCCCTCCTTCTCCAGTCACTCAGAAAAAGAAATTCACACTTCAACACGATTTTTTTATATAGCTTACTTAATAAATGTTACTGCATTAGACCAAAAACTAACGAGTAAATGTGATTATAATAAACTTATCTGAAGAATAAGCAAGGAACAATAAGATCTTTGTATTTTACATATATTTAAAATAATTCAGTAGGATAAAACGAAACATAGACATCTATAAATATTATATCATTTTCATTTAGGTTTCATTACAACTATATTATTAGGTTTCATTTCAACTATATTATTAAGTTGATTAATTTTATTTTTCTTATTGCGGATTTTAATTAGCGAAATGATCAGTCACACGTTCTACAATGATTTTTTTTCATTTTCAACGGTTTGTAACATTTTATTCAATTTGTTGAACCTTTTATTATAGTGCTTTAGATGTTTCCAGTAATTCCATTTTTTGAGAAGTCTACTAGCTTCTACTATTGTGTTCCGCTTATATATTTTGTCATTATTCAGCTCTTTCAAAGCTACCTTGAAGTTTAAGCGCATATTTCAGATTTAGAAATATATAAACACTGTTAACAATTAACTTGAAAAACATATTACATAAATAAAACAGCAGACAAACTTTATTTCTTCGAAATGCATACAAAAAAATTTATTCTTATGTTTTTGTATTTTGTTTTTTTATTCTAAAAAAATAGATTTAAGATATAAAAATATAATATTTTGCTTTTTTTTTTAAAAAAAAAATTATTTTTTCAATAACTTGTTTACAATAACTGTTTTGTAGCAAAAACAAAGTATTTTTTACCATTCGGTGTAGTTAAGGCGGTTTACAAAATATTTGAATACTTTTATTTGGAATTAGCATGGTTTTGTCAGCATGCCCAAACAAGATCTTTAAATGTTATAATTTTTTTTGCTTAAAGTTTTTACAATATTTAAAGAAACTTTTCTTTTTTATATATAATTTTTAGAATCTTTTTACTACCTGTAATAATGTATCTAAAGAACGCTATTTTGGGGTCTTTAGATCAATTTCGCTCATCGACATTAACATGAATTTAGTTAAAATCTTTTTAAAAAGTTACTTATTTACTACTGATCCTAGTTCTAATCGGTTCTGACGTATATTAACTATATATAGTTGTCAAAACACAAGCTTTTATGTTGTATGGATTTAAAGCCGTAATGAATATTTCAATATTTAGGTATAGATAACTTAAAGTAGTAAACAGATAGTAGAATATAGTTACAATTTTCCCTATATTTAAAAAGTTAATAAATGCAAGAGGTAGGTTATTGTGATTTTAGTTCCAAACAAGTTTGATAGCTGAATAAGGCAATTTGAAAGCTGAATAAGTTCACAAAATTTAAGGACTTAATCTTTTTAGCATAAAAAGATTAAGTCAAACTGTAGCATACTCTATTTTAAAAAATAGAGTATGCTACAGTTTGAATAAGTATTTTAAAAATAAATTAAATTTAGAGATTTATTTTGGAGATGAGTTAGTCTTGCAAGCTGCTTAGATTTTCCCCAAACCTGATAACCACATCTGAGATGAGAGTGAAAAATAGCATGATATATATTATGCAAAATCTCATGATTAACATAATGACGAATTTTAGCTCACATGCCGTTTGAACTCCTTATTTTCAATGCTAAATCTTTATTAAAAATAAAAATTTTATTGAAATAATTTATATTTAAATAAGTCAGGAGCCCCAGAAGTCTCCAGTATAGTGCCCCGTTTCAGGGTGTGGAGGCCATAATTTAAGTAAATTTTTGCGCTGGTATCTTATATTATTTTACAATCCTAAAGGAAACGCTTTTCTGTAAGTTCTTGCATATTATATTATTTGTTACTTAAGTATTAAATGCGATGCTCAATCAGTTTCCTCTTATTCCGGGGTTTGTTAATAGATACCATTTTTTATAAGGCCATCAAGTCTTGTACTTAGGGACATATTGTTTGCTTGTACCTAAGCGTTTCTCTAATATAAAATTTGTTTTGATAAAGATAATTGTTGATTGTTGAACTTTGATTGGTCTAGAATTTTTTTTTCTTGCGGTTGTTTTGGGATTACCATTTTACGCGTAGACTTATTTGTCAATTTTACTCAGAACTTTTTGTCAATTTTGTTATTTATTGAAACGTTGCAATTAAGTAACACTAGATAAATTTGTTGAATACAATCTAAGAATAAATAAACTTTTAATCAAATTTATGTTGTCAATTTATTATGGAGTTAAACCTAGTTTTCATTGGACCTAGGTACAATGGGCTAGTGGCCCTAAAACAAGTTTAAAAAATTTTATTATACGCAGTGTCACTTTTTTTCAGTTTTACCACTTTTAAATAAGTCTGGGGTCTTGAATTTGGGCATTGAAAAAATCCGAAAAACATTTTTTAATTTTATACACTGCCAATAAAACTGTTTCTTTTCACTTATTCTTCTTTAATCTTCGCTGAGCATTATTACATTTACACTTTAAATAAATTTACATATGTAAATTTAATTGAAATGTAAACGAATACATAATTCTTAAACTTACATGTGCAAACGAATAAAATGTTCTTTTTATCTACGTAGTTTAGTAGCCTCATTATGCAAGCTAGATCAATTCCAATTTGTTTATGTGACTTATTTCTACCTTAATTAATACTTTTGTGGAAGGTTTAAGCTAATGTGCTCTGGTCTACACTATTCTAAAAAAATTCCTGCTCTTTCAGACATGATGATACAGATTGCTTTTATAATTTTCAGACTCGATGATGCAGACTGCTTTTATAATTTTAGACTCGATGATATAAACTGCTTTTATAAAATAGGAGGTAGCATGAGCAGGTAGTCTCTCTTTTCAAACCTCTATATCGACGTTGAGCATCCTTGGCGTTTGAAAACCGGGATTTTAGGGAATAGACAAATTAGGAAATATAAGTATAGGTGTTTCGCAGTGTACATACATCGACTGATTTATTTAGCCATGGGCATAATGAGTGTGCATACTTAAAAGAGACCGTCGGAATAGAGGTTTGATAAGAGAGCTTACCGCATGAGCATATCGCATTTTTATTTTGAGATTTTTGGTTCCACAGTTTTTTCTTTTCTAAGAAATGTAGATATTTTTTCTGTCAATTAAATTTTTTAAAATTTGAAGTTTGGACTTTGTAACTTTTAAAAATGTTTGGTACTTCAACCTCTTTTAAAAAAGAAAAGTAAAAACTTTTATTAGAGATTGAAGATTCAAGAATGAAGATTCAGAAGGATTAGAGAATGAAGATTCAGAAATATCAGTAAAACTAGTAGGCGAAATTTTTAAAGAAATGTTTGATAAACATCAAAAAGATATTCTTAGTATAATTAGTGGAAATTTTAAGCTAACAAGCGATAGAATTAATGGTATAGAAAAAGAAAACGAAAAGTTAAAGGCCGAGGTTACAAAAATTAATGAAAGATTAAAAAACTTAGAACACACAAATAAAGATATTGAAGAAAGTTTAAACGCCACCCAGGAAATCCAAGAAAAAAAAGTTAATAAACTGGAAAAAAAAATTAAAAATAAAATTAGTATTAACATTGGTGATGAGGAAAAAAAAAAGTTAAGGGAGCTTGAGGACAGACTAAGAAGAAACAATCTTCGGATTGATGGAGTGATGGAAAATGAACTTGAAAATTGGAATGACACAGAAAAAAAGGTACTAAATTTGTTTGAAAATAGATTAAGTCTTAACAACGATATCAACGTAGAAAGATCACTCAGAATGGGGAAAAAAGAAGAAAATAAGTCAAGAACCATAATTGTCAAATTACTTCACTATAAGGACAAAGTTAAGGTGTTACAGGTGGCTAATAAACTCAAGGGAACGAGAATTTATATAAACGAAGATTTTTCCAACGAAACGCGTGAAATAAGAAAAGGTTTACTGAACGAAATGAAAGAACACAGAAAGAACGGTAAGTATTCCATTATTATTTATGATAAACTTATTGTAAAAGATTTTAGGAAAAAGCAAACCAGCGCTTAATGACATCCTTATTTATAACTATAGTTTAAAACTTCGATTAAACACATTTAATATATTTTAACTATATTATTTTATATTATTTTATTTTATACTATTTTATATTATACTATCAACCTTACTAATGAGTCTAAATACAGCTTTCCAAAACTTAGAATTCAATACATTTCAAAATAAAAAAACAATACTATTAGATAAAGATCCTGATATTAAATATTATAATAATAATGAATTAATTCGAAATATAAATCCAATATATTATGACCTAGAATCTGAGGACCTTACGAAGGAATTGGCTATTAATTTGTTTTCAATATTGCATTTGAACATAAGGAGCTTACAAAAAAACTTTGATTCATTCAAGCAGTTTTTGTCTCAAATAAAAGTTAATTTCCAGGTCATTTGCCTTAGCGAAACTTGGTGTCACGATGGATATATTGAAAATGACTCAAACTATCAATTACAAAATTATAAAGTGGTTCATCAGTTTAGAAACACTGAAAAGACAGGTGGGGGGTTATGTATTTTATAAACAACTCATTGTTATACAAACATAAAAAGGATTTATGCTCAACTAACAGCAATTACGAGTCGTTGTGCATTGAAATTATAAATAAAAATTCAAAAAACATTATTGTGTACGGTGTATACAGGCAACCTTCTGGAACAATCAAAACATTTAAAGATTATGTAAAAAAAATATTTAAAACTGAATCAAGATCAAATAAAAGCGTATACCTCGTGGGCGATTTTAACCTCAACATTCTTGAGTATGATCAAAACAAAAAAAATATTTTCAACTGTATGGCTACATTCCGATTATTAATAAACCCACTCGAATTACCAGAGAAAGTGCTACATCAATCGATCAAATAATCACAAATGAATTCGCAAACATCAAAATTCAATCAGGCATTGTTATATCAGACATTTCTGATCACTTTCCGGTATTTATAATGTCACATAAGTCCGATAACAATATTGTACAAAAATTGAAAAGAACATCCAGAAGAATAAATGAAATCACTATTAATGGTTTTCATAACCATTTATCTCTTAAAAATTGGAATCACATTATAAAAATTATAAACGTTAATACAGCATATGATACGTTTCTTAACGAGTTCCAACAACTTTATTACAAAGCTTTTCCAGAGACTACAAAGTTTGTCAAAACAAAAGCGCTGCTAAATCCTTGGATAACACAGGGTATTCTCAAATCATCAAAAAGAAAGCAGCGCTTGTACAATAAATTTATCAAAAAAAGAACACTTAAAAATGAAATCAATTATAAAAACTACAAGCGTCTTTATGAATCAGTTTTAAGACGTTCTAAAAAGTCTTATTATTCTGTACAATTAAATAAACACAATAAAAATACACAGAAGATGTGGAGCATAATTAAGGAAATAATTGGGAAAAAAAAATAGATAGCCGTAGCCTCCTAAATAATCTATACACAAATAACGAATTTATTACAGATAAGTATTTAATTGCAGAAAAATTTAATCAGTATTTTGTTAATGTAGGTTATAACTTAGCATCAAAAATAGAACCCACAGAAATAAAATTTGAATCTTTTTTAAACTCCCATAACACCAACGTAACGAGCAATGATGAACTTACAGAAAGAGATCTGTTAGATGCAATGTTCCAGTTAAAACCCAAAAAAAGTTAAGGATTCGATAATATCAACTCTTGTTATCATAAAATCAATAAAATATATAACCATTCCACTCTTTAATCTATCGTTAAAACAAGGCGTTTATCCTGAAAAACTTAAAGTCGCTAAAATTATACCAGTTTTCAAATCTGGAGATCTCTCAAGTGTTGTAAATTACAGACCAATTTCAATTCTTCCTTGTTTCTCAAAAATATTGGAGAGAATTATTTACAATAGAATTTGTTATTTTCTCAATACAAACAACAAACAGTTTGGATTTAAGTCAGGACATTCCACTGACCATGCTATTATTCACCTTATTAACGACATACTTAAAGCTTTCGATGAAAAAAAGTATACAGTAGGTGTCTTCAAAGATCTCAGCAAAGCGTTTGACACAGTAGATCATAGTATTCTTCTAGCCAAACTATATCATTATGGCATCAAAAACGCAAACATTGCTTGGTTCAAAAGTTACTTAAGTTATTGGAAACAATATATATCGTATGACGAAGGAAAATCAAAGTATATGAGAATCACTTGCGGTGTTCCTCAAGGATCGATACTCGGACCACTCCTCTTTATTGTTTATATAAACAACTTGTATAAGTTTTCTAACATTCTAAGTTCAATTTTATTCTCAGATGACACTATATTATTTTACTCAAATAGTAACATCGACCTCTTATTTAAGATAGTCAATAAAGAACTCGCAAATTTAACTGAATGGTTCAGGTCGAATAAATTATCCCTAAATATAAGTAAAACCAAGTATACTTTCTTTCATAGACTACACGAAAAAAATATTATTCCTTTAAAACTTCCCAATTTATGTATTGATAACTCTAACATAAAAAGAGAACAATCGTGCCCCTTCTTAGGTGTAATTCTCGACGAAAAAATTTCATGGCGTGAACATATAAATACAATAGAGAACAAAATATCAAAAAATATTGGCGTATTATATAAAGCTAAACAAGTATTAAATCAAGACTGTTTAAAAAATATATACGTTTCTTTTATTCACTGCTACCTTAATTATGGAAACATAGCTTGGTGCAGCACCAACACAACCAAGTTAAAAAAACTTCTCAGCAAACAAAAACATGCTATACGAATTCTTTCAAATGTAAACCGTTTAACACCATCTATTTAGTAAACTAAAGATACTCAATATTTTTCAACTAAACATTTACTAGATACTCATTTTTATGTACAAAATTGATAAAAAAAATGACGCCTTCCATATTTTAATAAAATAAATCATTTTTACCCTACCAGATTTTCAAATCTAAACTACAAACAACCCAAAACATATTATATAGCCACAAAATTCTCAATTGCAAATAGAGGGCCCAAATTATGGAATATAAAAATTAATAACGATATAAAAAATATTATTTCCCTTAACCAATTTAAAATAAAACTTAAACAAAAACTTCTTAATATTGACAATAAAATTGACAAAAAAAAAAAAAGTTATTTCTAAATTTCAAAAATAATATTATATGTTATATTTATTATTAACTGACTGGTTTGCTTTTTCAGTTCTTCAATCTATAGTTGTTAACTATATTTAACTATAAATAGTTTTAAGTTTAAATGTTTTAAAGCTAAATTAAAAAAAAAATTAAAAATTTACTCACTATTTACTCAATACGACATTTTCTTTTGGTCGTCTCGAGTTTTTTATATTTCGCTTTTCTCTCTCTTTTTTTTATTTTAAAACTTGGTTTTTGAATTTGCATTTTGCTATTTGTTTCTTTCTTTTTGTTATTGTCTATTTAAATTACAATTTAAAGGTTTTTATTTAAAAAAGTATAAATATATGTATGTGTGTATATGTGTTTGTGTATATATATGTATGTGTGTGTGTCACCAATGTTTAAAACTTGTGTCTCACCAATGTTTAAAACTTATATCAGCATATTAAATCCTGTTGAAATTATTATAAAACAGCTGTTAGAAAATGCGCATTTGACCAATAATTAAATAGGTTTATGCATGTCTTGTTAAAAAAATTAGTTTGGATCTATAAACTGAAATTTTTATAAAAAATACTTTTTATAAAAATATAGTAACATAAAAAAATTCTCAACCCCCCTCCATTTTTATTAACCCCTTTCCTTCCCCCGTTTATAAGATCTTGACAAAATCCCCCCTCCTCCCTCCATCTTGTATTAAGGACTCGAGAGTGATTTAATTATATTTTTATAAAGTTAAAATTTATATAAACAATTAATAAAATTCTATTTGCTTACACAGATTGAAAACTTAAAGCTATTAAATGCAATTTTTTAAAAAAATATTTTTCTCAACCCAAAACATTTTTAGTTCATATTATTTTTAAACGCTTCTCCAACGAACTTTTTTTATATATAAAACACATTTGGGTATTATTTTGCATGCACGTAAAACGGCGGGGATGAAAGTGTTATAAGGTAATGGGATACCTTTGCACAGGATGAAAATCTAAAGATTGTGATAAAAAATTTTCTCATTTTTGTGTTAAAAATCTGTTTCTTTGTAAAATGACTTGTATGTTTATTAAACTCTTGTATTCTGAATTATTTATCCAAGTCTTTGGCTTTTTTTTTTTTTTTTGTTCCAAAAGTAACGAGAAGTTAGAACAATTTTTAAACGTTCATCTTAGTTTACATTAATATAAATTAGTTTCATCTTTTCCTTCTTCCGAATAAATGGTTGTATGACGGTCAGTATCTGTGAAAGTAAGAAAATCTACAATTAGTTTATTTTCAACATCTAATTAAATAAAATATATTATTGCCTATAAACCATCTATAAAAATAAAAAAATATTTACATTTAATGAAAGAATTAACACATGTCATGTTGGGCATAAAAAAAAAGATAAAAATAGTTTTGTGTAAAATAAAAAAAAGTAAGCTACGTTAAATAAACCTAAAGATAAGAAAGCTTCATTCTTTTTTTCAAAAAGAATTTAACAAAAAATTTAAAAAATCAAATAAAAAATTAAAAAATTGTTCATCAACCTTACACCTAGGTCTAAAAAAATTAAATTTAAGTTTTTCTCTAAAGTAAGAAGAAGCAAGAAGTCTTTAAAAAGAAAATTTACCACTTTAATTAAGGAATCTGGGTAGTTGATTAGACTGTTCCGCCTAATCAACTACCCAAAATATCAATACTTTATTTTATATAAACTATTTTTATCATTTATTTTATAGTACCATGATCAGATTTAAAGTATAATATAACAAACATAATATAACAATACTAAAAAAAACTTTAAAAGTTTAAAAGCTTTATTTAATTTACTAAAAGTTCAAAACCTTCATTTAAAAAAAAACAGGTATGTAATAATTTTTGAAGAAAAATAAAACTATAATTGTAAAAAATACTTAAATTTTTTTAAGTTTAGAAACACAATTATTTTTTGTTTCTCTCACCTAAAATAACTCGTGTCATTCTGATATTTAAAGTTTTACGGTGTACTCGGTGTAGTTAAGGTACTTTTAAAATATTATAGCGTCAGTATGATATTTTGTTGACTGTTTAAATGGTCTGGTCTGTGAATTATGAAAAGACGAAATATTTCAATCATAAATTTTGCGGTATCATAAAAAATAAATGTTTGTAGCGAAAAACCCAGACCGAAGATTCTTTTTTTTTTCTTTTAAAAAACCATCTTAAAATTACAATCGCTCTTCTAAATTTGAATAAGATTTTATACTAATACGTTTTTTAGATAAAATGAAAATTGTTTAACAATATGATCTGTTCTGATTGTTTATTAGCAATTTTTCATAATTATAAGCTCTTTCTTGGTCGGAATTCTAGAATTTTTTGTGAAAATTGATAGAAATATTGTGTTTTGACAACTATATATAGTTAATATATGTCAGAACCAATTAGAACTAGGATCAGTAGTAAATA